GTTAAAAGAGAACCTAGCTAAGGCTCAGAATCAAAACTGTTAGAATTATTATTAGTTAGTGGTTAGTAGTTGGTGGTTGTTAGTAGTTGGTGGTTGTTGTTTTAAATGTTGTAATCCTATATATATATATGAGATCATAGAGTGGAGTAAGGTATCCCACAAAATTAGAAATCTTCTTTTCACTCTCTTAACTTGGTATCAGAGCAGGTTGGTCCTGCTCTACCATTTTCGGTTACTGGCGGACCATTTTTCGGTCACCGTCCAACCACTTTCCCGGTCACCGTCCGTCCACTTTCCGGTCACTTTTCGACAACTGTCAGTTCCCCGTCCAGTCACCTTTTTTTTGCTGTCGTCCGACAACTTTCCGACCACCTTCCAGTAACCTTCCGACTATCTTGGGTGTTCTCTTTCTTACAGGTTCCATTGTCTCCATCTTACATCTACATTATTTAAAACATGTCGTCGGGGCCCACAACCTCCTTTTTCGAACTCCCACGATAACGTGCTGAGAAATTAAATGGAAAAAATTACATGTCTTGGTCCTCTTCGATGGAACTTTGGTTCCTTGGACAAGGGTTTCACGATCATCTAGAAGAAGACGGAAGTAAGATACCAGAAGATCAGGCTCAACAATGGAAAAAGCTTGATTATCAACTCTGTGCTCTACTGTGGCAATCAGAAGAACCAAATATTTTGAACACTCTCAGATCCTTCAAAACATGGAACTCTTTCTGGAAAAAAGCTCAGAATATCTTCGCAAATTATATCCAACGCCTCTATGATTCCGCTAATCGATTAGCTTCTCTCAAGCAAGTGGATAATGATATGATGACCTTTATTGCTGAAGCTCAATCAACAGTTGAAGAATTAAAGATGTTCCTAGAGGTGGATTCGTTAGAGGAGATAAAGCAAAAGTTGGATAAATTCTATATGGTTATGACTCTCCGGGCTATGAATTCAGAATTTGATCATGTTAGAGATCAAATTTTAACTGGACAAGAAGTTCCTTCTATGGAAAGTTTGACTACAAGACTGCTTCATGTTCCAACTCTCAAAGGAAAAAATAATCAAGAACTTGTTGAATCTTCTGCTATGATTTCTACCCGTGGAAGAGGAAGTTACGGCACTAGAGGAGAACGTGGAGGTAGAGGACGTCCTCAGTGCACTCATTGAGGACATGAATCTGGAGGCTTATACTACCTTGGGACTAAATCATTTGTATCTTGTGTTGCATCCTTGTCTCCAAAACTATTACACGAACGGTTAGAGCACCCTCACTTATCAAGATTAAAAAAAATGGTTCTTGAACTTCAGACTCTTCAAGATTTTGAATGTGAATCATGTCAACTAAGGAAACATACTAGGTCCTCTTTTCCTAAACGTTCTGAATCTAGATGTGACTCTGTCTTTTCTCTTGTTCTTTCTGATATTTGGGGTCCTAGTCGTGTCTCATCCTTTGGCTATAGATATTTTGTTACCTTCATTGATGAGTTTTCTAGGTGTACTTGGATTTATCTAATGAAAGACCGTTCTGAATTATTACCTATCTTTAAGTCTTTCCTTAACGAAATCAAAAATCAATTTGGAAAAGTAATCAAAGTTTTACGAAGAGATAATGCCAAAGAATACTTTTCTACTGATTTCTCCACTCTCTTAAGCTCCCAAGGCATTTTACACCAGTCTACTTGTCCTCACACACCACAACAAAATGGTATAGCAGAACGAAAAAATAGACATTTGGTTGAAACTGTTCGTACCTTATTACTTGGTGGAAATATGCCCGTTCATCATTGGGGAGATGCTATTCTTACTGCATGTTTTCTCATTAACAGAATGTCATCTTCTTCTCTTAACAATAAAGTTTCACACTCTATTCTATTGCCAAAAGACCCACTCTTTCATGTTTCTCCTGGTGTATTTGGTTGCGTATGTTTTGTTCATGATGTCTCCAGGTCTAGATAAACTATCAGCTAGAGCAATCAAATGTGTCTTCTTGGAATATTTTCGTCTTCAAAAAGGATATCGATGTTATTCTCTTGAAACTAAGAGGTACTACATGTCTGCTAATGTCACTTTTTTTGAGTCAATTCCCTTCTTCCCTTCTTCTATGCAGGATATTAATTCGGTCCAAAATGTCCTACTTATATCCTTAGTGGAGCCATTTGTACCTCCTCCTCCTGACACCCAAAATTCCACACAAAATACACCGGAATCCTCATCACCGCCTCTTATTACCTATCAACACAGGAGCCAAATGATCAGTCCCATGTCCCAAGATGAGTCTTCCTCAGCAGATCCTTCTCAATCATCCCCTGATACCACGATTCCTGATAATGATGACTCAAGTTGGCTCATTGTCATTCGCAAAGGTACTCTTTCTACTCGTAATCCACATCCCATTTACAATTTTCTTAGCCACCATAGATTGTTTCCTTCCTATTTTTCTTTTGTTTCTTCTGTATCCACTATTACTATTCCAAAAAATGTGAAAAAGGCACTTGATCATCCTGGATGGCGACAAGCCATGATTGATGAAATGCAGGCTCTTGAGCACAATGGTACATGGAACTTAATTCCTCTTCCACATGGGAAGAAGACTGTTGGTTGTCGTTGGGTCTATGTCATTAAAGTTGGACCAAAAGGTGAAGTTGATCGACTCAAAGCTAGATTAATAGCAAAAGGCTATACTCAGATCTATGGCCTTGACTACAATGATACTTTTTCTCCTGTGGCCAAAATGACTACTGTTCGACTTTTCTTTGCTATGGCAGTTATCCGTCATTGGCCTCTTCATCAGTTAGATATCAAGAATGCGTTCTTGCATGGTGATCTTGAGGAGGAAATTTATATGGAGCAACCTCCTGGTTTTGTTGCTCAGGGGGAGTCTAGTTTGGTTTGTAAGTTACATCGTTCTCTCTATGGTCTCAAACAATCTCCACGTGCTTGGTTTGGAAAGTTTAGTCACATTGTTCAAAGTTTTGGATTAAAACGAAGTGAAGCAGATCATTCTGTTTTTTATTATATTGCTTCAGGAAAATGTGTTTATTTAATTGTATATGTAGATGATATAGTCATTACAGGGGATGATGTTGATAAAATTTCTTTGCTAAAGAAACATTTATGCAATCACTTCCAAACTAAGGATCTTGGTTGTCTCAAATACTTTCTAGGGATTGAAGTGGCTCAATCAAAAGAAGCCATCGTAGTCTCCCAAAGAAAGTATGTTTTAGATAGCCTGAAAGAAACAGGCATGATTGATTGTAGACCAGTAAACAGCCCTATGGATCCAAATCAGAAATTAATGGCGGATCAAGGTGAACCGCTCTCTGATCCTGAGAGATATAGAAGACTTGTTGGGAAACTCATTTATCTCACCATTACCAGACCTGACCTATCTTTTGCCGTTGGAGTTGTGAGTCAATTTATGCAAAATCTACGTACTGATCATTGGAATGCTGTTGTTCACATCCTAAAATATCTCAAAAAAGCTCCAGGACAAGGTCCGTTGTATGAAGATAAAGGGGGTACCCAAATATCTGGGTATTGTGATGCTGATTGGGCTGGATCCCCTATGGACAGATGCTCCACTACAGGATATTGTGTTCTCATTGGAGGCAATATTATTTCTTGGAAAAGTAAGAAACAAAATGTAGTGGTCCGGTCTAGTGCTGAAGCTGAATATAGAGCAATGGCATCTCTCACTTGTGAACTAGTGTGGGTGAAACAATTCCTTCAAGAACTGAAATTTTGTGAGATCCAACAAATGAAGATGTATTGTGACAATCAAGCAGTTCTCCACATTGCCTCTAATCCGGTGTTCCATGAAAGGACCAAACTTATAGAACTTGATTGTCATTTTATTCGTGAAAAATTGTTGTCTAAAGAAATTTGCACTGAATTTGTCCGGTCCAATGATCAACTTGCAGATGTGTTGACAAAGTCTTTAAGAGGATCTCGAATTGAATTTATTTGTTCCAAGCTTGGTACATATAATTTGTATGCTCCAGCTTGAGGGGGAGTATTAGAATTATTATTAGTTAGTGGTTAGTGGTTAGTGGTTAGTAGTTAGTAGTTGGTGGTTGTTAGTAGTTGGTGGTTGTTATTTTAAATGTTGTAATCCTATATATATATATATATATATATATGAGATCATAGAGTGGAGTAAGGCATCCCACAAAATTAGAAATCTTTTTTTCACTCTCTTTACTCTCTTTAACTAAAACAAAGTCCAGGCCAATAAACATCGTAGGGATGTTGAGTATCAAGTTGGAGATTGGGTATATTTAAAGCTACAACCTTATAGGCTTAAATCCTTGGCTAAGCGCCCAAGAAGTTAGCTCCACGATTTTATGGACCTTACCAGGTGATTGATAGAATTGGACAGGTTGCCTACAAATTGGAGTTACCTCCACACAGCATAATACATCCAGTATTTCATGTTTCACTGTTAAAGAAAACCATTCAGCCGTCAACGGATCCTCAACCATTACCAACTTCATTAACAGAAGATTATGAATTAATTATGTCACTGGCTCAATGACTAGATACACGTACCAATAGTCAAGGGAAGATGGAAGTCCTCATCCAATGGAAAGACCTTCCACCTACGGAGAATAGTTGGGAATTAGATGAAGTCATATCCAAGGAATTTCCTACATTTCACCTTGAGGACAAGGTGAAACTTCAAGGGGGGAGCAATGATAGATATAGGTTAGTATATAAAAGGAGAGAAAAAACGGGTTAATAAACAGCTGGTATTGTAACTATTTTTAGGCATAAAGACTTAGTATATCAGTCTGTCAAGGAGGGTTGAGTTTTTTTAGGAGAGTTTTTCGGGGTAATCTCTATTGGTGAGAGAAAGGGAAGGGCTGGGAAGATTACTTCCATTTTGTAAAGTGCATTGTCATTCATTGTGTGTGGGAACTTTGTACTATCACATAGATAGGTCAAGACATATCAATAAGAGGTATATTCAGTTTAGTAGAGATATAAGATCTAACATTTGCACATACCATGACAAAGGCATTAGAAGCTGCAGTTAGATTTATACCCACTCCACCAGCTTTTAGTGACATTAACAACACCTGATGCAATCAAGAAATACGTTCTGATGGTTATAAATAGTCAAAGCATTGGGCCAGTTTCTCTACAAAGTGTAAGTCAGAAAATGTGAGAGGAAGTAGGTCAAGACCAGAGTGGAGCTGTCTTCTGAAAATTGCTTGATTACTTTCTCCCGCTGCTGAAGATTCAGAGTCCCATCAAGACGAACAAATGAAATGTTATTCCTGTAGATGAGTGAAGTCACATAGAAACAAACCTCGTCAGTATTTTCATTGCAAATATGTATTAAACCAATGAAAGGGTTATTGTACTTGTAACAACAGTAAAGGCTTAGGCATGATGCAGAAAGAAGCAAATGAAATATGCCACAAGATCATGGCAATCATTATAGCTGATAGACATCAACTTTGAAACAATGGTAATATTACAACAAATGAAGAATTCAGAGTTTCTCTCCCACAAGAACATCTTTCCTAGAATATGATATAATTCAACCAGCAACAAAAATCTTACCGAGTGAAGGGGATCTGCAATAGATCCAGGAAAGCAGTCCACTGGCTGAAAACAATGCTTTTGGTGCCTGCTGAGCGGAGATTTTTAAGTTCATCCAAAAGAAAAGTTACCTTGCACGACTCTACCCAGTTCTTCTCAATATCCACCTGAAACCGATTCTCAGTAGGGGCTGTGATAAGATCCTGCCTGCTGACTGCTTTCCTGTAAATCATATAAGACCATAACCAAGATTCATCAAAAAAGAATACTGCATTAAAGACAGTTTTGAACTTAAGTCATTCAAAGTTAAATACAAGATACCAAGATTCCAATAGAATTTATTGATAATACCTACAAACAGGACATAAGCCAGAAGTAGCATTTCTCAAACTTGCCAAGAGGCATTCCCGGCACATGCGATGAGCACACGGTGTCAACACTGCATCTTCAAATGCTTCAAGGCATATTGGACACTCTCCTTGCTCCCCTTTCCGTAGCTCTTCCACAACTTCTTCAACATAAGCCCGTGAAGGTGCATCTTTTACTTCGCCATCTAAAGCATTATATGTTCCTCTAAGGAAGCGCTTAGCTAGTTTGTTTAGATCCCCAAATTCTTGAGTATCACCTCGACTAAACAAATGAATTGTTATCATGACAATAAGCTGACACATATGAAGAGTAAACAACTATGGTACAAGAAACAAAGAAAACATCATCACGAGAAAGTTTTCAATCACATTGCACCAAACAAGCTTCTCAAGAAACATCAAATGTAAAACAACATCAAGCAAAGTTAAGATAATCAATCATCCAGCAGCATTCAGTGTTTGATGCAATCAAAGACATCAATCTCGTACAAACACCTTATACAAACACATACATAATGGAATTCAAGAGATAAAAAATGTTTGTGATGAACCTATAGCCAGCCCAAACAAAGTTTTCCAAATACTTTAGACAATTGAATGATGCAAGTAATATGTTCAAGAACCACCAACCAAGGATGTCTTTTAAAATAAAGACCCCGTTTGTTTCAATCCTATTATGGATAAAAAGTGTTCCACCCTAAAAGTCTCTGTCTCTCACTCCCTCCAAATATAGTACAGGAAAAAAAAAATTATAACCCCTCCTTAATATTTTTTCAGTTTCAGGGAGTAACAGAAGGTATGCAAAGTCAGAAAAGAAAGTTGACAATTACTAGAGTATTTGCACTATTCAACATGATTTCCCACATCTCCTATGAAGCGATATGTTATACCTTTCACATATCCAACCATTTGGTTGTGACTTCTACTTTGGAAATTGAAAACTACACAAACCTGATCAATAAACTCATTGTATAGGCTTATTTGTATGGAGTTGGTCAAAACAGGTTAAAAAACTTGAACAGATTAATAATATGCTTACAATTACAATAAGTTGTACTGGCAGCAGAATTTAAGTACCAAATTACCTCATTACAAGAAATGGATGATCACAACACTGCCGAAGGCGTAAAAGTAACTCCAATATTGAAGCATAATTATGAAGAACTCGTCCTTGCTCAACGAACTGGTCAAATTTTACCTGCAAAAAATTTCATCAACAGGTTGGACCATTGTGACTTGTTTCAGTGCAAAAAAACAAGGTAAAAATATTAAATTTAGATTAGAAATTGAAAATACCTTAGATCTTTTGAATAGAGCTTCGTAGAAGTCCTTTTCAGCTTCTGTTTGTTCACAGTAAATTACCTGCATATCAGCCGGAGGCAGAACAAGAATGGGCCTGCAACAAATGACAAGTTAATAGAATAAACTATATGTTAAAATAGTGAAGGTCTTTAACCAGATCACTGACTTTCCCTCTCGATCTGTGCTATATTTGGTTCTCCTCAACATGATTGGCTTTAAAATTGATTGAACTAACTTGAGCCCTCTTTCATCACCACCCTCAAATGGTTTCTGAATTAGTTTGTTCCACCTGGATAATCATATAAAACAAATTTTCACAGTCCAATACTCCAGCCACATACCCACTTAAAAAGACTGAACAACCAAGGTAATGAACAGAGTTGCAATAATTTCTAATAAAATGTTTTCCCACAATAAGTTCTTTGCCGTAGATGACTATGCTAAATATTCATGACATCCAACTTGGTTCATACTTTGTACTCCAGTTATGGTACACAAATTTTGACAAGAAAGCATTACTCTCAAGGTGTGGAATTTTTCCCCATCGTTGCCATTGTAGGCCACCAACAGAAGTTTGAAAGCCTAAATAAAAGGCTAGTCAATCAAACCACTTGTCTTAAGCTTACACAACATTTATGATATAAAATGATAAATTTCATGTACAAGTCTTGTTAACATTATTATTTGTTTCAATCCTTGAAAGAAAGTATTGAAAGGCTCAACTTCCCTAAAATGTAGAATATTCAAAATACTAATAGAAATTTGGAATCGGAAGCTCAGTTTACACCATGTCTAACCTCCCCTCCCCCAAAAAAATTCAAAATCTAGCACTACTCAATCCTAAAATGGCCTTCAGGAATAAATAAAAAACAGTTAAAAAAAACTAATGCTGATGAGGGAAAAGTAGAAAACATTGGACATAATAAAGGGTTAAACAAATCCGACACAAAGAAAGAGATGATTTTACCAGGCCCAATGACCCCAAGGCTCTATTCTCAGAAACCGCAGAAGACTGTAAATATCTTCAAGGCTGTTCTGTAGATTAAAAGGGGTTCCAAGTCAGGAAGCATAAAAACTACATCTGTCGTGAGACTCAAGAGTACTCCAGAAAAAGCCAATACATATACATGAACAGCAGGTCACAGAAAATTTTGAAGTAGAGACTTAATTGGAAAAACCCCAAAGCTGATTTTTCAACTCCTCGGAGAAAGTTTTTCATACCCAAATCACTTGGAATTGAAAAAAGAATAAAATATTCCACATACTAAGGGTTTGACAGTATTCTCAGGTATATGTGTATTACAGACTGAGGGCTATAATGTTTAAGCACAACTTCCAATTGACAGCACCATGATAAAATCGTGAATAATAATGATACTACTACAACAATTCTACGGATAGATTTTAGAATTTCCAGCTCTACAACTGAGCATAACTGGGCAAAACCTCATCAATCAGGATACTAAGATGTCATGGATAGATTCAATCATACAACTTAAGGATGGAAACTATAAGAAACTGTCAAAGCAAAATAAAGATTTCATAAGTTTAACCATACAATATAGCCTTTTGTACCAATCAAAGGTTTCTGGCATATCAAACTGATGCATGACATTGTGATCTTCCGCATGATTTAAAATCAGTATAAAGTTTCTTATTCATGGTCAATTAATTAGTTAACTAATCCACACATACCAAAAAGAAAGCAGTCAGCTATGAGATAGAGAAATACTCCATTATGATTCACCTGAATTGGAGTGCCTGTTAGACACCAACGTCTGTCAGCAATTAGGGCAGCAGTTGCAACAGAAACTTGGCTTTTCGAAGATTTTATGGTATGTGCTTCATCAAGAACCACTCTAAACCACCGAATTGAGAAGAGTCCACTGTTATCATCTGCATTCTGTACATAAGACAGATAGAAAGATGCACAGGTAGATAAGTCTTAAGAAATGAAGTAAAATAGCACTACCAGAGATAGTATACTGGTTTCAACTACCTCACTGGAAAATTCAGAGGCCAAAATTCCATATGTAGTAATTACAACATCACTTTGAACGAGACTTTTTGCATCTTTTGGCCTACATTGTCCATAGTGGACATAAAGAGACAGAGACCCAGGGTGCACATGAGTTTCAATCTCTGCCTGGAGAAATTGTCAAATGTTCAGAAATGGAAAGCATTTGATTTGCTCTATACATCCCACAGCTGAATACAATGGGAAATTACTTTGAAGTAGAGAAATGCAGTAATGAGAGAGCTTCATATTATAGACAACACTAATACCTTCCATTGCCCAAGTAGAGTCATGGGACATATTATCAAGTTGCCACCACTTGTTAGAGAATTTTTTTGCTTTGTCGTTTTATCAAAACCAGACAATTTGGTTGCCTTTTTAGGTATGTTGGAAAAATTGGTCATTGTATCGCTACCTTCAACACCTTCAGTAAAGGACTTGGTTATGGGTTGACTACCTATTGATTCACCCTTTCCTGAATGGGCAACGAGAAGGGATATGGTCATGATGGTCTTTCCAAGCCCCATAGCATCTGCCAAAATCTTCAAATTCACAATAAAATAATACATTACAAATGTTGAACATGTGAAAGCAAGAAAAATTTCCAGGGTTAATTCCTGTAGAAACATACTCCTCCTCTAGCCATTTGAAGGGTGCTGGGAAATTCAGTTGTGGCTTCACCAGAAAATGCATTCAAGTAAATAACAAGCTCCCTCCTAACAAGTACAACAACAATTACTTCATCAAAATCGTTCATTGAATTTTCTATGTGCGAGTGTTAAACAAGTTCTTAAATTGTGATCCACAACCACAAGTGTGGCCACATCTAATGCACTTGTCCATAATTCAGTACTCCCAATGCAACCACAATTTAAAACCATGATATTAAATAACCGCAGGCATACTTGTCAACCAGACGATATGCCTCCCAACATGGATGGAGGGTTGTTGCTGTCTCATCCATACATTGTCCCTTCTCCATCTGGATCATCCAGTAAAGTGCCTGCTTTTGATAGGGCCGCAGATCACACAGAAGATTAACAGGAGGGTCCATTTCCTGAACAACACTTAATGATTATAGGTTACTGCATCATTTATAGGCATAAGTAAAACAGTGCATGTTACTCTCAGAATACAACACCTCTAATTCTGCACTTGATTCAACACCAACAATGTTCTCAACATCAATCTCAGAAATAGAATCTTCATTGTCATTCTCATGACCATTTTGAGAAGGATGCTCACACTTGGCATGTAATAATGTTACCTGAAAGGAATATCTCTGGTTAAAGAAAGGTACTATGCAAAAACAGTTCCAGAAAATGTTACAAAACAATTACATCTGTTGTTTTGTACCCTTTCACTGAGAGGACGCTTGTTGGAGTAGAAATCACCTGGAGTTAACTCTGCCTAAAAATGAAGTAATGAAAGTCAATATTTGAGAACAATTCTTTAGAGTTACTTGAGAGTTACCTTATCCAACAACAAAAGCTAACTCTGCAGGCAGTAAGAAAATAATACAACTTTCAACAGAATATACAATGACATAAAATGTTTTCTGAATAACAGAAAACAGTAACACAGGACCAATAAGCACCTTTTTAAAAGGATTTAAACCCAGCAACCGAAACAGGGTTGGTAGCGGATGAAAAACTGATTCATCAGTCGAGTTGGCAGCATCCTTGAGAGAAACCTGGTGATGCTTACCAAACATTGAACTATTGATAAATACACTGAAAGAGATCCCAAATAAAAGGCAGAATTCAGTTTTCACCATAAAAACATATATTGTAAACCTTATGATTTCAAGACAATCTGTCATAGACACTTTTAAGAAAAGAAATAGTAAGGAAAAATGAACTAATTTCTTCAGATCTTATTTTTTATTTTTCACAGTAACTATAATTTATAAAAAACTTATTTCATTATTTTCTTCATTTTTTAGTGAATAATTTTGTCTAAATCCTTAGTAGCGAAGTATAATACTTAAACAACAAGCCATATGTCATTTTGCATTGAACATTACATACCTCACTGACAAAATAATAGAGTCCATAATGCCCAAAACTTGAGGAGCCAATTTACACTGCCCCTCAATCCTAACCTTATGATCCCGCACCAGAGGCAAAAGACACCGAGCCCATTCGTTCGGTATTCTCCCAATCTGCCAAACCAAAGCACAGTTAATCATAATATTAATAAATAGAAAACACAAACTGAACTAACCAAGACCCACACAACCTCCCCAGCTTGTTCAGTGGAGAACCGAACTATCTCCGAACACTTCGCAGCCCGTCCAAAACCCCTCCCCGGAGAGGGCGAAGAGGAGAGTTTCTTCGTTGGAAACTTGAAAATCACCCTCTCGCCGGAACTTATAATTCTCCCTTTACATGTGGATAAACCAGTTACTTCGCCGCAACTCACTAACCACCAATAATCGCTGTTATCATCACTTGGTGGTTCACTGAAGCTAGGCTTGGTGACAATTGGAGTAGGAGGAGAGGGTTTTAGAGGCGAAACTGAACGTGCATTGTTGGGGGGCGTGGGATTGAATCTTGGGACGGTGTGAGCGTCGAAAATGATGTTGATGGCCCCAGTGATGTCGTTTTTGGCCATATGGAGGGCTCTGATGATTTCCATGTCTGAGAATTCGGAACCGACAATGGATCGGATTGTGGACAAGTGGTGGTCGCTGACCTTACTCCCCATCGGAACCCTAACCCTAAGTTCTTATTCTCCGGCAAGGGTTTGAAAAATTAATAAAACAAAAAAGAGGAAAAGAAAAAATCTCAATCTGCTAACTCCAAAACAGACGCCAAGACTGAGTGATGGAGAACAAAGGTGCTTTAGTTATATGAAGTTCCCGCCACATCTATTATCTCGTTTTATTGTGCCAATAATAATTGTGCCTACAATTAATTGCTGCTACTTTATAATCATTTATCACAATTTTGCCATGATATCAACATATGAACTATTATTTTAAAATTTACTGAATAGATTTAAAGAATCTAATTTTTTTGAAAAAAACTTATCTATCTTAAAATTATCAAATTAATTTAAGTAAAATTTAAATATGAAAGTAAAAGGTTAGTATTGATTTCATTTCATCTCATTAAAAAAGTTATATTCATTTTGTATGATACTTAATGTAAGTTTGTGTGCATTTAAATTAGATATATGATAAGATCTTTTTATTGAAAATATAAACTTTTTAATAAAAAAATATTTTATTTATAATTTTGTATTTCCAACAAGCTCACACTCACGAATTTTAATTTCTACCAATAAATAAATATATATATATATATATATATATATATATATATATATATATATATATAAAACATGCGTACATTTCAATTCCTGTTTGTGCATGAAAGTCCTGAATTTTTAGTCAATAAAATTTACAATTTAAAAATATTGACTTTATTTTAAAATTTAATTTAAATTTTATATTTTGAATTCTTATTAAAAAAAATTTAACTATATGGTTATTATTTATCAAAAACAAATTATTTAACTCTTAGATTTATGTAAATTTTAGTTTTTTATTAAATAATTAAAAAAAATGTATTATTACAAAATAAATTATATAAATATATACCTACAAATATATATTATATATATTATTAGTTTTTCAGCATATAGGTTACATTTTAAAACTATGTTCATTCAATAAGTTGTATATTATTGGCACCAGTAGTTTATGGGCTCCTATATGTCTTACAAGTTCTCAACTTCTGACCATTTTCATGGAAAGGTTTTATTGACAAGGGAATTTAATAAAGTTTTGAAATGTTTTTGAAAAAAAAATTATTATATTTTCATGAATACAAATATTTATAATATATATAATTTCTTTTGTAATAAAATAAATGTCATCCTTTTTAATATATTGTTTCGAATGAATTATTTATTCTATTTTTAAGATATTTCAATAGCTAATTTAGTTTGTATGTATTTTTTTAACTATTTGTAGATATTATTATACTAAATTTACATACAACTTTTTAACAAAAAAGTTTGTATCTTTTTTATAATTCAACTGTTTACAATTATTTTTTAATTAAAAATTTAACCAACATTTTAACTTACAAATTGATGACACAAACAAATTATTAAAAGAACCTTTATTTTTTTTATTAATATAAATTATATTAGTAAAACTATCCAAACTTAAAATTAATTTTGTAAATATTTACTAAATGATAAAAATTGATAAACTTAATAATATCAAAAGTGTAGAGTAATGTTTTATATAGAGTTTTAAATTATTTTTTATATAATAACATTAGTTATTCATTTTAAAATTGTAGTCATGAATTTATTTCTAAAAGATATAATAATGAATTAAGAAAAAAAATATAAACTAATATCAATTTAATAATATAAGACTAGAATGAAAACCTCTTTTTACCAATTTCGACTTAAATTTACCTTATAATTAAACTTAGAGACTCAAACCTACCACTTTTTTCCTTTTTATTATGAGATGCTTATTAACATAAACAAAAATATTCACAAATATATCAGTTTAAATTTCTTAAATTATAAATTATAAATTGAAAAAAATAATTATCCTTTTTTTAATGATCACATCTAATATAAATCTTTATATTTTTTATTTTTATTTTTTTACAGGAAGTGATCCTTCTTTTTTCTCATTTTTTATTAAGAAAAGTTCTGATGATAATAATTTTGAAGATTAAAGAGCATGTAGCAGTGTTTATCAATTTCTTATGACAAATTTTATGAAATGTTAGTTTTTCCTGAACTCTATGAACTCACCTATTTCCCTTAATTTTATGAATCCAAAGTTTATTGGACACTACAACACACTTATGGATTATATTAAGAGGTTGAAACACACTTAGGATCCCAATTTCCTTTGAAGTAAACAAGAAAATAAAATTAAAGAATGTTACATACATAGAGGCTAAAATCAGAGTTTTAAATGGATTATTCTATCAATTTTTTTATTTTTTAAATTGATACACTCTTGAGAGAAACTTGTTGATAAGATTGTTTATCTGACATTCTAGTTCACTAATTGTGTGAATTTCCTGGTTCTTTTTTCACAGCAAAATTTCACTGGTACATGTTGTGTTGGATTTGTTTTTCCATACCATGATGTTCTTATCAAGATTGAAATTGCTGTTACAATAAAGGTTTTATGCTCTGAATTATTACAAATAATTAATACTGCCTTAACTACAATGATATAACTCGATGTTCTTCTGATGTTTTAGATCTATGTTCATGCTTGCTTTCCACTGGGTTCAGTCGACATAAGTGCTGATGAACAGCTATCTGAGAACAGTGAAGACTTAAAAAAATATATTTGGTGTGTTTCTGGACTTGTTCTTAAAATAACTAACTCCATTAGTGCAATATACAGAGGTGGAGAGTTAGAGACTGTTACCAAGGTAATGAACAAGATGAAGAACTTGGTAATTCATGGCTTCCATATGTGAATTCACTAATTGAAAGTACTTCTCAGGAAACGAATCTGAGAACGTTTTAGCACTAGAATCCTGTATTGCACTTCCTACAATAGTGACTTTTTGCCAAAAAAATGGAATTTATTGATGATGTCTAGTTGGACCACATTTGGTTGGGTTTAAAGAGTTGATTTCTGTGAAAAATGTTTGGCATTTGCACTGAGGCACATCATGTGTGTATGTGTTGGGGAAAGAACATTATTTTTCTTGTATACTTAACTGAAAGGAGTTTACCCTATTGAAGTTTAATGTGGTAAAATACTTAATGAAAATGTTAATAGAATCCTTTCCCTTTTCTTGTCTACCCTGTTGGCATGCTAGGAATTGTTGTTAATGATGCTATTGGAGCAGGTGCAGTTATTTTGGTCAACTTTAATTTTTTAAGTGAAATTACACTGGGAATCCATCTCTTGATCATTTTGCTTCCAGCTATTTCATCGTGTTTGTTCTTTTTGATTGCTTCATATTAAAATATCTAAACATGTGAACAACAATAGTCTTCTTCTTTATCAAGTTCTGATTTTGAACCATACTTGACATAATTGGTGCAAGAGTAGTTTCTTGTGGCACACAATCTATGGTCAAAGGAACTTTCGGGGTTTGATAGAGATAATGATGTGGCTGAAACTAGTTCAAAATCTATTTCACATTATTTGTTGGAGGACAATGATGTTTTGAGGCCTAATTTGTGAGTTAGCCTATTAGAGGATGGATACCAGAAAGTGAAAAAAATTACATTTAAAGAAAAAAAAAGTTACAAAAGATGATAAAATTTGTAAGAAAAAAAAATTAAAAGTTTATGAGTGATTCAATTAATGTAAATAATAATAAAAAAGTTTTAATAAATTTTTCAAAAATGATTAAATTACTTTTTTTATACAAAAATCATCATTATTATTAAATTTTAAAATAAATAAATATATTATAAAATTATTAAATTTAGATTATTATTTATTTATAATTCTAAATAATTTTGAAGTGATTTATAATTAAATATCATCAATTATTTTTATTTTTAAAATACACAATATATATATATATATATATATATATATATTAACTATGAATTACTATCTATTGATTATTGAAAATTTTAAATTAAATTTTTTAAATTTTATATTTATTATATTGGTTGTATGAAAACAAATATTCATGGATGATAAAATATAAAGAAGGTTGATAATTAACCATGAATCATATTCTAATTAATTATTATAATTTTTACATTGAATTTTTTTAATTGATGTTTATTATATTGGTAATATGAAAAATAAAAATACTATGAATGATAAAATATAAATAATTATAATAAAAATAAGGTTGGAAAATTTTCAAAGGATAAAATAGACTATAAATCTTTTCCCTCAAATTTTCTTATCTTGAAGTGGATATACTAGTTGCTCATTCCTGGTATTCATTTTCTCTATTTTTACACAAATTAATAAATTCAAACAAACTTAGGAATTCTCTAATAGATGATTGGAGATATAAAATTCATGATTAAGTTTGAGATGTCTCATTGTATATATATTTTTTATTTAATACGATATTGTAATTCATTCTTTAATTTTAGAAAAAATAAAATAAAATAGAAGGATACATAACTTTTACCCATATTTTAAGTATTTTACTTATTGTTTGTCTAAGTTAATGATGGTTAATTTTTATTTTTTGAAATTAGCTAAAGGTGCTTGATAGGGAGAGTATTAGGAGTTTAAATTCTCAACCTGATTTGCTGCAAACTAAAAGTTTATTTTGATTTACAATAACATATATAGTGACTATTTTTGTAGAGATTAGAAAAAAAAAAACGAAATTTTGTTTCTTTGCAATCATAATTTTTTGTTTTAAGAATAGTTTATTTTATGAAAACTTATTTAAAATAAAAAAACATTTGTTTGTATCCAAAAATCTTATTTTAAACAGCTTTTAATTTTTATCAAATTTCAAATTCTGTTATTCTCTAACTTAAAAAAAAATTGAACTTAAGTTATAACTTTCTTTTTTAAATTAAAGAGTAACCATGTATGAACAAACTAGAACAAACAAGTTTTAAATTGTGCAATTTGTATAACTGATAATATTGGACACGTTTTAATATCTATTTTCATATTACTGTTTTGAATAAAAGTGTTTCTGTAAGCTAGCATTTAGTGAGAGTATTTTGAAGAGTTTGTTTAAAACAATAGGATATTATAAGTTTATTTATTTTTATTATCAAGTAACACGTATTATTTTAATCATATAAATTACGCATTTGATTTTATTTTTAATATCTCCATTTCGTATATTAGTTTTAAATTTATTTTGTCTTAAAAAATAACTATATTTTTCTCTTAAATTACCACCATTCATTTAACATTAGTTACATTTATATTTGATTACGTTAATGCATATTTTTTTATCCATTGTTTTCATCTTTATTTATAAATTAAATACAATAGTTTAGATGCAAGTCATCAATAAATAATAGTAATCTTGCATTATTATATTATTATTTATATATATATATATTTTTAAAGTTATATTTTTAAATTTATATACTATAAATTTAATTATATTTTAAAAATTAAATATAATATTTTGTTATATAAAGTTGAAATAGAAACTATAAATTGAAAATACTGAATATTCGTTACCGTAACAAAAATCACCAAACCTACTAGTATAACAAGATTACGGAGATAATGAAATTTGACCGAACGTTTAAAAGTTAAAATGGTTAAAAATAAATAAATTTTCAGAACGTGTATTTGATTCGCCTAGTGAAATCGGCAACACGGACGCGACGTGGGATAACCACAACAAACCTCTTCGCTGGAGGGTGTAACACCATCACTAGCAAAATTTCCCTCTATTGTTCTCTTTTCCATCTAACAACCCTAACCTCTTCCCCGCAATTCTTATCCCCTCACTTTCTCTACCACCTCGCGCGTCGTTTCGCACCATCCCGAGAAACCCTAAACCTTTCGCCAAACACAGAAAACTCGGCGCAAAACCGCTGGACGCTTCATTATCCTTCTGATTACATGATGGAGCCTCCCGTGGTGAGATCCAGGGGTCGCCCGCGCAAACGGAGAAGAGAAGAGGACGGAAACGTGGCCGGCGATCCAAGAACGCTTCCCGAGGCGAAAAAGGAGCCTCCGGTTGCACTGGTTGGTCGATACGTGCTGAAAGAGTTCCGCAGGAACACCGTTCTTCTCGGAAAAGTAGCGCGCTACGAGCGCGGATTGTACAGAGTCGTGTACGAGAGTGGCGGATTTGAGGATTTAGATAGCAGCGTGATTCGTAGGATACTTCTCCTTGATAGCTATTTCGATGATGATTTGATTCGGAGGAAGGGCGAATTGGAGGAAGTGATGTTGCCGAAGATCGCGGAGGAACCAGAGAGAGGTTCGAGCGAATTGCTCGGCGATTTATCGGTTGAGAACGGAGAGGAACGAGATGAAACGGACGATGAGTCGGGCGGTGAGGCTATGGATTTGGGTTCCGATGCCGAAACGCCGACACCTTTTCCGCCAACGCTGCCACCGTCTTCCGGAACAATTGGCATTCCGGAATCGTGCGTTTTGAATCTCCTTTCAGTTTACGGATTTTTGCGTTCGTTTAGCATTTGCCTGTTTTTAAGTCCGTTTACTTTGGATGAGTTTGTCGGTGCTTTGAACTGTAAAGTTTCCAACACGTTGCTTGATGCTATTCACGTTTCGTTGATGCGTGTTTTGAGACGTCACCTTGAAAACATTTCACCAGATGGTTCGCGGCGTGCAACAAAATGCCTCCGGTGCTTAAGTCTCTGACTTTATTTATTTATTTATTTTTAATTGCGATTTTAGCATTATATTTAGTTTTAGGACCAAAATTAGTTGCATTTCTTTAGTCCTGTTTTATGACTAGAGCTAGAGGTTACTGCTATCTAAGTTTTGTTTTAAGTTTTACTGCTGCAGCCTTCTCTCATTTGTCTTTAATAATGCGTACAGTGTTCTAGACCGTTATGTTGTAATTTTATGACTAGTATGTGATGTTTATGTTATCATTTCAAGGATGATTTTATGTCGTGAAATCTGTGTTATGTACCATTTGGTTTGATTGAGGAAAAACAACTGCTGTATTTATGTTCCCGTTTTTGTTCTTGAGGGCTTGGCGGAGCACATGGCTACCTTTATTCCACTGATTAACTTAATTTCTCCTTGTTTAGAGCCCAAAAACGTTGGAGGCGTGTTATATGTGTTTTTTGAGTGATGAGGTCGAGTGTTGAATAAGAATTTTGAAGCAATGAAATGTCTTGTTTGACCCATTGATTAATTCTATGGAGGACAATAGATCTGTCATCACGTAACTGTAGCATTATTTTAATGTCTCAATATGCGTACTATTGCATATTCCCTAGTGTCCTATCATGAGATTTTATATATTAAAAAATATTAATTGGAATATCTTGCTTTTTTCAGGTGCATTGATTGGAGTTTGCTTGATGCTTTGACTTGGCCTGTTTTTGTGTATCAGTACTTAGCCATTTATGGATACACAAAGGGACCTGAGTGGAAAGGATTTTATGACGAAATCTTTTATGGCGAGTACTATTTATTGCCTGCAAGTAGGAAATTGGTGATTTTGCAAATTCTCTGTGATGATGTTTTGGCATCTGAGGAGTTAAAAGCTGAAATGAACATGCGTGAAGAATCAGAGGTTGGGATTGATTATGATAATGAAGATAACCTTCCTGCTGAAATTGTGCCAAGAAGAGTTCATCCAAGATATTCAAAAACTACTGCCTGCAAGGATACTGAAACTAAGAAGTATGTTTCAGAATTGAATGCTGATGATGTTGATGGAAATGGAGATGAATGTCGCCTATGTGGCATGGATGGGACCTTGCTTTGTTGTGATGGTTGTCCTGCTGTTTATCATTCGAGGTGTATTGGTGTGATGAAGATGCATATACCAGATGGGGAATGGTATTGTCCAGAATGCAAAATAAATATGATTGGGCCTACAATTGCACGGGGAACATCACTTAAAGGGGCTGAAGTATTTGGAAAGGATTTGTACGGGCAAGTTTTCATGGGTACTTGCGACCACTTACTGGTGTATGTTTAACATCTTTTTTGTGTTTTTTCATTCCATTTGTTATGATGGATTAATCCTTGTGCTACTTTGAATTTGTGCTTTTTTTTTTTTTTAATCTGCTTTACTTTTTGATATCATTCCCAGTTGTCACTATAGATGTGCTTTAATATTTGAGGTTAGATTTTGATATTTTATTTTTGCAGGGTCAATGTCAACAGTGATGAATTTTGTCTTAAATACTACAATCAGAATGACATTCCTAAAGTTCTCCTAGTCCTTTATGCATCTGAGCAACTTAGACTTGTGTACAATGGTATTTGCATGGCGATGTTAAGATATTGGAATATTCCAGAAAACTTGTTGCCACTTGGTGTCACAAGTGTACCACAAGTAAACTTAATAAATACAAACACAGATGTGAAACTTCTTCCCATGATTGATGAAGAGCAACAACAAGCCGTAAGATCAGTGAAGGCAGAATACAGTTTAACATTTGGAAATGGAATTTGTAGTGATAATTTGGTGCCATCTTTTGATGCTTCTTTGGTTACAACCTGTAGTCCTGCTCCTAGAAGCTGTGACAATAAGAGAACTACTGTGAATTTGAAACTTCATGAGGAAACTGCAATGAATCCAATGGTTTCAACTATTAACCATCAGTCACATCCAAAGTGCGAAAATCCTGTTAACAAGTCAGCTGCAGTAGGCCCTTCTAAGTGCTCTTCAGTAAGCAACCAAGTTAATAATTATGGGCACACAAATGATAGGTTGCCTATGAATTTGTCTTTGCATACTAAAGGTGACCAATCTGGTTTTGGAAAGTGCAAAGCCAGTTTAACTAATGATTTTGTGTACTTTGGTTGCTCCTATAAACCACAGTCATACATTAATTGCTATATGCATGGTGATTTTGCGGCATCTGCTGCTGCTAATTTGGCCATTCTTTCTTCAGAGGATTCTAGATCAGAGGGTCATGTATCTGACACCTTGGGGAAAGCAACATCTGGAAACACTTATTTACTAGCAAAAGCATTCTCCCTAACAGCTTCACGCTTCTTTTGGCCAAGTTCTGAAAAGAAGCTTGTAGAGGTTCCAAGAGAGAGGTGTGGCTGGTGCCTTTCTTGTAAAGCCCTTGTTTCAAGCAAGAAAGGATGCATGTTAAATCATGCTGCTCTAAGTGCCACAAAAAATGCAATGAAAATCCTTTCTGGTCTTGCTCCTGTAAGGATTGGAGAAGGAATCATCCCTAGCATTGCAACTTATGTTATATATATGGAGGAAAGTTTACGTGGTTTAATAGTTGGGCCCTTTTTAAGTGAATGTTATAGAAGGCATTGGCGAAAACAAGTAGAACGAGCCACATCATTTAGTCATATAAAACCCCTTTTACTCAAAGTGAGTGGTTGTTATTATTTTAAAATCAAGAAGATTCTTTAATTTTAATATACGAGTTTCTTAAATATGAAGATTTGTAAATCATTTTGTTTATCATTGGTTAATGAGATTGTCATTTTCAGCTTGAGGAGAACATTCGAACAATTGCTTTTTGTGGGGACTGGGTGAAGTTGATGGATGATTGGTTGGCTGAATTTTCTACAATTCAAAGTGCTGCAAGTACTCTTGGAACTACACAGAAAAGAGCAACATGTGGGAGGCGTAAGAAACAGTCATCAATCAATAAAGTTACAGCTGGTGGTTGTCCTGAAAATTTTGCTTGGTGGCATGGTGGGAAGTTTTCCAAATCTGTATTTCAGAAAGCTGTTTTGCCAAAATCCATGGCAAGAAAAGCAGCCCGACAAGGTATTCCTTAAGTATATAGTATACCATTCTTAACTGGAAGTAGATTATTAGCGAAATTGGATTGTTGCATGTTTAATCAGTTCTTGGTTGACCATGAACTGAAATGGAAAACTTCTCCCCAAGTCAAACCAATTAGTCATTTTCTTGTTAAAATTATATTATTATATTAAATTAAAAAGTACTGGTAAAAATCTAAATGTTTTAATATGTTAAAACAATAACCATATATTGCATAATTATTATTTACCATGAGCTTTAGAAATATTGTGGATGTCAAACTTGAATTTGATATAATTGAGTTGCATCTTCAAATCCTGCTATATATGCTAATTCGATTGCCATCCTGTCTGTCCCTAGCTGCTGACAACTGTTCGCCTATTGCTTTTGAAGTAATTTAATTTTGTATGAGAATAAAAGCAAGTACTGACTGGTTTAGGGCATCAGGTGGTTCGAGGAAAATTTCGGGTATATTATATGCTGATGGCTCTGAGATTCCTAAAAGAAGCAGACAGCTAGTTTGGAGAGCTGCAGTCCAAATGAGTGGGAATGCATCTCAGTTGGCCCTTCAGGTCTTGTCTCTTATATATTATAATTGTTTTGTTTGAGTCAGTAATTCCTTTAGTTTTTTGCATCGGCATAGCATGTTGGATTTGTCAATAACTTGATCATATTTGATTATTTGCATCAGGTCCGGTATCTGGATTTTCATGTCAGATGGAGTGATCTGATTCGACCAGAGCATAACCTTCTGGATGTGAAAGGTCAAGACACTGAAGCGTCTGCTTTTAGGAATGCAAATATTCATGGAAAAAAAATTGCGGAGGGCAAAATTTTCTATAGAGTAGCCTTTGGAAGCCAAAAACATCTTCCTTCTCGGGTAATGAAAAATGTTGAAATAGAGCAAGGACCTGAAGGAAAGGAAAAATATTGGTTTTCTGAAAAACGCATTCCTTTATATTTGGTAAAAGAGTATGAATTACGCAATGGACAAATGCAATCTAATAATGAGTACCTGCACATTACATCTCAGTTGCACAAAAGGCGGTTAAAAGCTACCTACAAAGACATTTTTTTTTACCTTACCTGCAAGAGAGACAAATTAGACATGATATCATGCTCTGTATGTCAGCTGGGTGTTTTAATTGGGTAAATTACATTTGCTTGTTACTGTTTTGTTCAGGTGTTTGTATATGTTATTCCTTCTTTTATCTTTACACTCGCCTCTAAGGCCATGTTTTTTTCTATTGGTTTAATTTCAGGAATGCTCTCAAGTGCAGGGCCTGTCAAGGTAAACCCCTTGCGTGATCCATCATCCTTTCTATTATTTTAGTATGCTGTGAATTTTTTATCTATTTTTTGAAATAAGATCTCAGTTTCTTGTAAAATGTACAGTCATTTTTCATTGAATAAATACACGAATGTCATATATAACAAATCTACCACCTTGCAAGTGTTTTTAAATTGCAATCCAATTTTGTTTTTTTGTTACTAGTATGTCGTATGGGTTTTCTTGTGCTTTTTTTTTATTACTTTCTACAGTTTAATGTTTTATTTCACATGGGCGTAGGTTATTGTCACTCGGGCTGTTCTGTAAGTTCAACTGTCTCTACATGTGAAGAAGTTGAGTTCTTGGCCACATGCAAACAATGTCATCATGCCAAATTACTTACTCAAAAAGAGTCTTGTAATGAGTCTCCTACTAGTCCCTTGCTCTTAGAAGGACAAGAAAACAGCACTTCAGCAGTTCTGAAGGGACCAAGGCCTAAATATGATGATCAAGGATTGGTGTCTTCTAGGATGAAAAACAGTCGATCTGACATGAAACAAGTTGCTTATGATTTCCCTTTCAAAACAAAAGGCCGTAGCAAAAGTTGTTCTTGGGGTGTTATTTGGAAAAAGAAGAGTAACGAAGATACAGGCTTTGATTTCAGGCTCAAGAACATTCTTCTAAAAGGAGGTTCAAGCCTGCCTCAATTGGAGCCTGTTTGTCGGTTGTGCAATAAAACATATAGGTCTGATCTAATGTATATCTGCTGTGAAACATGCAAACGTAAGTGTTTTTACTAAGGTAATAAATGCTTACATTTTCACCTACTTATCCTTTGTTTATCTAATATCTGCGTTTTCCAGATTGGTATCATGCTGAAGCTGTTGAACTTGAAGAGTCCAAACTTTTTGATGTGCTGGGCTTCAAATGTTGCAAGTGTCGCAGGATAAAGTCACCTGTGTGTCCTTTCTCCGATTTGTATTGCAAGATTCAAGAGGGAAGGAAGTCTTCAAGGGCTTCAAAGAAAGAGTACGTCTGGGGAGATTCTGATTCTGGTACACCTGTTTACACAAGAACAAATGAATCTGCAACTCCTATCTATCCTACAGTGGATGTCTCTAGACAGGACAATGATCCTCTGCTGTTCTCCCTTTCAAGTGTTGAGCTGATTTCAGAACCCAATTTAGTTGCAAATGTTGCAGGTAATACTGTCTCTGGGCCAGGACTTCGGAGATTACCTAAACGTGAGAGGGAGAATAATGATGATTATTATAGAGGTAATCTACATGCTCAATTTTCAACCAGCAATGAAATGGTGTCCAAATCTGTAAAAGATTTATCACCTGTAGAATATGGCACTGCTGACTGCACTCTTCTGAAGGACCCTGAAACTGTAAATTATGATGAATTCGTTGATTTTGAACCTCATACCTTCTTCTCGCTGACTGAACTGCTCCACTCAGATGAAAATAATAGTCAATTTGAGGAAGCCAATGGATCTGGGTTCTTCTCGGGGTATTTGAAAAAATCTTGTACATTAGGTGTTCCTGATGAATGCGGGACTGTCAGTTTAGCTTCCAACTGCGAACCTACAAATTTGTTACAAGTAAACATTAACAGTTGTAGGCAATGTTCACAAAAGGAACCAGCCCCTGATCTCCATTGTGAGATTTGTAGAATTTGGATTCACAGCCAATGTTCACCTTGGGTTGAATCACCATCTCAGCATGCAAGTTGGAGATGTGGTGATTGCCGGGAATGGCGATAGCAGAATTTGGTTGTCATCCTTTCCAGTGAGAGTTTTATTGGGTGTGGTAATTCCCAGGATTGCAATGTTAGCATTAATCATATAAGCTGGCTCAGTATGTATGATTTGTTCAGGTATACACCACTTGAATGAATTGCCGCGGGACTTATTGTGCGCCTTCAGAGTTTTATTGGCATCTGCAGGTTGCTGTGAATTCTGTTATCTGCGACTGAGATGGTCTTTGAGTAGTTTTGACATCCGACCCGACATGTTTCCAACCTGCTTGGTTGTTCTGGAACCATATGGGTTTATTACTCCATAATTGCATTTCCCCCCACCCACTTCTGTTGCAGGATCCATAGAAGTTTGCCTGATCAATGGTAGATAAGCATATTTTTGTGTTGCTTATCTGACAGGATTATTTGTATAGATTAGATTCACATTTTTTTGGAGGTCGGTCAAAATTAAAACCTTCCACCTTTGGATCTTTATCTCAAAAGCATGAGATGCCTAGACAGCTACTAGCGTTTCGTCGGCCCCATCAATAGTCATTCTTTACACTCACTGCTGACCGTTTTCCTTCTTCCCTAGGTGCTTAAGAATTTCATAACTGTTTCCAAGATTCTGCTACTATACTAATGAATGAATATTGGCTTCGCGAATCAAGTGCTTATCATGAGTTTATTGATGTTGTTATATCACAATGACGAGGAATTTGTGGTCCAAGTCTTCAATTCATTCGGGAAATCGAACATTGTTTCTATAAACTAGATTCAAATTTTAAAGTTGTTTCTCCAAATCCTAACATCATATTGTTTTGAACGTTGTTCGAACATTTTATAAAATAAGAAAAATCTCAGTCCTCTTTTTCATCTTAACATAAAGTTTCCATAAAATACATTATATACATTTATTGTTTAGAGTCGAATGGTTCAACTCATGTTTTTCATATTTGAATAGTTTAAAAATTATAAAATTAGGTGAAATTTATCGTGCAAGAGATCAATAAATCAATTATTTGTCATAATATTAGAGAGATTTAAAAAGATAGAATAATTATGATTAAAAAATTAAACATCACATGTTAGTAAAGTGTAAGATACGGACTACTACAGAAATGTAAGTTTGCGCTTCACTCGCCTCAGGCTTTATCGTAAACATGAAATAGACCCAAAAGCATTTGTATATATAATGTCCTTACTCCACAAGCTATTATTGTATATATAATGTCAAAATAACAATTTCAAACTTACAATTGTTTCTATCAAAGAGGCAAATATCTTACATGCTATCAGGTGCACCACAAACAATCCAGTGAAACTGGGTAGGGGAAAAATATGAGAAAACTGAAAACCCTCGCCCAACTGATAAAATCTCGCTTAAAGGACAATCACTTTGTGCAGAAAGAATCTCAAAAATGCCCACCAACCCTGAAATCCCTGTTCAAACACCCAGCCGGTAAACAAGCTCACTCGTAATTCCGCCAGCCCTTGCATCATATGATGATTTCGTATATCCACCTCACTAGCTTGAGGGAAACATGGGTTAGGCTGTGTAGATGAGGTTTACAAATGTGTAATGATTAATGGAGGAACACCTTTATGTTGTCATAAAAGAGCAGCCAGCATTGCCCCAGGATCCGTCAACGCTGCGGGAGCACTGGTTGGTTGACTCACTGGAGATGTTGGAGCTGGGTGTGTTGGTACACGGATTCCAATGGGAATGGTGACTAATTGGTCCTTGATGAACTCCTTCAGCCTGCAGCCAATGTAAGATTTATCAGTAAAAACTGTATGCAGAATTCGTCTGTTGACGGCATCCTTTTAAAAAGTAGAAAACTAGTCACATACTCAAATGTTAGTGTTGGGTCCCCTGAAGCAACTGTCATTCGCAGCTGGGTTCTGTCTGCTGGGTCTGTTTCAATTCTTATCTGTGCACATCATTCACAAAAAAATGTTAAAAATACCTCAAGCTTCAACTAATGTTATCATCAATTTATTCATGAATGATTGGCATAAACCCATATAAATAAGTAATTATCACAACTATACTATTTGTAGGGACGGACTGCAATGCAAGATTTGTAGTTTCAACATATGTACTTACTAAACAAAGCATTGCCCTTGTACTTTCTGAATAAAATGTTGTACTCGCAACAAGATTGTTTGGATTGGGATCCTAAAGCAGAAACAATATACATTAGTAGTTAGTTATTAAAGAATGTCGGAGAAGATAAACAGAAAAGAAGTAAAAAGAGAAACTTCAATATCATACAAGACCGGGGGAAACTGTCAAGTGGTAACTGTTGAATAAGTTTGCCATTTCAAGCAGTGGAAGTGGTCTAACACCTCTAACCTGCAAAACCAACAGGAAACATGAATCTAAGTTTGCATGACCATAAATAACAAGCTAGCAGAGCAATTATATATCTGCCACAAAAAAATAATCATAAAATCAAATTGGTCAATATCCAAAGTTTACGCATGCAGAATACATACCACTTCTTGAAGCTTCAAAGGTGGTCCAGGAAGTGATCTCCATTGAGGGAAAAACTCTTCAGCAGATACAGATATAGGCTGAAGAAATTTATTCAGGACAGCAGGTAGCCGAAGCTTGACATTGACCTATGAAGCAACATATATATAAATATTAATTAAACTTTTTTGTTCTGTTCAAGAGGAGAGAGAAGGAAGCTAAAATCTTTTCATCAATTTTAAAGGACTAATTTGGTAAAATAAATGCTTAAAGGACGAATTTAATAATTAAAATTTTAGGACTAATGTAGTGATGCAAAATTATGGCTGACAAATGTAACTTAGGAGCCAAAGTGAGGGTTTTCTCTTTGCTTAACAATGAGGAACTAATAGATAAAAAGAACAAGTATTCTAACATATAAAATTTGAACTTAATCATTCATAACTGAAGTACCTCCCACTATTTAATTTTAAAGAAAATTCAGTATGATAAAGGCTCCAAATCCAATGCTTGACTTCTAGGGAGATATATCTGAAGATATATTTTCTATGCAACTAGATGCAAGAGAAAGTGTTACATGTTAGTTAGGTAGTTAGTGGGCTGTTAATAATTGCTTCTAATAGTACTATAGATAGTAATGATGATTTGTGTGAGAAATAAAATTTCAAATCTAGCACCCATATATCTTGTTCCCTTTTATTCTCTGTTTTTGTGGTGTGTTCAGTATGTGTTTTAACATAAATGAGTCAACCTGCATTTTTTTTTCCCACTAGCCTTGGAAGCATATGATAAACTCAACTCTAAGGAATTTTCTAATTAGGCAAACGAAACATAAGTTTAAATATAAGTACCATATCGTTACCAAACATGTAGGAGAAGTCAAGGACAGCAACATCCCTGCTTGGGTGGAGATTAATGACCTCAAGTGGGCATTGCACCTATACAATCCAAAGAGGAAAATGTAAATTTATTAACAAAATAGCATATTTGAAAGAGACCAACTGTTATGGATTCTCACTTGTGCCCGGGGAGGTATGGTTTCTGGTACTAGAGAGAGTTCCATCTTCAAATGTGTGGGAGGCAATATTAATGCTTGAACAGAGACAAGAGGAGAGGTATTCTTGTTTCCCAAGAAAAGAACAAGATGCCCATGGTGAGCTCTCCATTCTGCTTTAATACCAATCTGAGCAAATATATAATTAAAATCTAAGACCACAAGTTTAAAATGCAAATATACACGATCAAAATTAAAACCAAAAATAAAGAACAATAGAAAATAATTGAAACATATACCTGAATATAAGGATCCTCGTATAGAACACCACTATCCTTAACGCACAAAGCATGAAATCTTTCAGCAATATTTCCAATTGGCTGCACATAGAAAAGGTGCAAGTTATATTCAAATGCCCACCACTTATTTTGTAGTAATATCCTTCTAATGTTGAACAATAGAGAACAGAGTCTAGCAAAAAAGTGAATTGTTACATGGTCTAAATTGTATTTGTCCTAGAAAGTTTTACTGTAAGAATGTGGTTCATCATCAATAATAATCATGCATAAACACAATATAAGATGTAGAAAATATAAGAAAAAAGAGTATTCCAATAGAATTTTGCAGTAGTATTCAGTTAGCACATCCGGTTACGCAAAAGCTTGTTAATGCAATGTACCTGCACAGAATTGGTGACTTCTCCAGCAGGTACTATGGCTGTGGCATCAACGACAGTTCCTTCCAATCCTGAATTAGAACTTGACCGAGTGTGGGTATTGCCACTGGGAGGGCCTTCAATAGCCAATGGACCCAAGAGATCTCCAAGGAGATCTCCTGAGGGAGGTTGAGAATCTATTTTACTCAAAGTCCCATTTTCCTGGGCCATTTGGCCTGCTGAGATATCATCCTGTTTATGAAAAAATAGGCATCAAACTAAGAAGCAATAATACAAACCATTAGTGAAAATACACAAAGCAGAGTGAGAAACTAACCACATTACTGCTCATGCTGGGAATCTTTACAATGCTAAGTTGGCCAACAGGCGGAGTTCCATTAGCATGACTTTGTTCTGTTACAACCAAAGCATTTGATGTTTGAGATTGCTGCTGAGCTCGTAACCTTATGGCACTTTGTTCTGCAGTATCAACTTCAGTGTCTTCAGCCTTTTTAATCAAAGCAGACTGAATTTGAAAAAGAGTATAAATCCATGAGTGCATATCATATAGAGATTATGAAAAATTAACAAGTTGTCTCCGAATCAATATTGCAAGAAAACCTGTCGTTCAGGGAATTTGGGCATTTCAGCCAATATATCCATTAGAGCTGCACCTTTTCTACTCAATGCAAAATATTCGACAGCTCTTTGCTGTATTTCGACTTCAATTGAGCTTTCATACCTAAAAATGAGCAAATGGATTAGAAGAACCTATGCCCTCATGAAAACCCATAGAAAAAAGCTATAATAATAAGAAATTGAACATTGCAGAATCAAATCTCACTTCTTAAATATTGTCCATATCTGATTCTGTAATTCAGGGTCTGGTGGTTGACTGTGCATCAGAATTTTAGCATATGTAGACAAAAGAATAGAAATAGTAGAAGTCCTGAAAATAAAGCATATCTTGTAAGGTATCTTAGAAATATGGATTTCAATTATGAAATAAATGAGGTAGGGTGTGATTCCCCTTACGATACAGTAGGAAGCTTCTCATGTATAATGCTAAATATTTCCTTTGGACTGCATCCAGGTCGTCTTGCTAGAAGGTGTCCAAACTCTCCAAGGATGTAGGCACTGACCTGTTGAAGTGTATTCACATGAGACAAAAATTAAACAAGTACTTGCTATTTCATTGAGAATAAATGTTTAGTAACTGCAATTTGTGAACGAATCAATATAAAGTAAAATACTACACAAATTTCATAATAGCAGAAAGAAATACTTATTGACATTCTTCATACTTTGCAAGAGATTATGAAATTTCAAGTTAAAGGAACTAGTAGCATCACAAAGATGTCCCTGTTTTACTCTAGTATTATTAAACATTTCTTACCCATTTTACAGTTTAGAAGGCATCATCCATAGGTGGCAGAATGATTAAAGAATGGTAGTAAATATACAAACCTTAACCATTGTCTCATGTATTGCAGGTTTGTCAAGATACTCTCGAGCTTTTGCCGCAGCATAAGGCTGAAAAGACATAAAATGCCCAGCTGTGAATGATTTGTATATTAGGAGCAATATTTTAGCACTACAAGTTTCAAACACACCTGTAAGTCTTCGTTGTTTGTAACAAACTGTACCACCCGAAACCATATGTCATCACTAACAAAATCTCCAGCCTTGTCAATTAATTGAAGGATCACGTCAACATACCTGTATAAAAGGATAGCATGATATCAATATATCCATGTTCATCTCACAAATTCATAAAGGATGGAATCTAGCAGTTCCTCTAAGCTTCTAAATTAATTGCATATAAATTCTGATTGACATCAAACAGGTTGGCTGTGATTTTGAATTTTATAGTTATATTGTCCTTTTCATGACAAAAGAGTCAGCTTAAAAAATTGAGTAAAGGTCATCCTCAAAATAAAAGTAAAAGAAAACAAACTACAGCAAAAGATGAAAGGACAAATCAACAGGTCAAGACACAAAATAAGTAAACAAGTATATCTCTTCAATTATACTGAATTTTTAATTCTTGATAAAAAATCCATCACATATATGATATTGAAACCACCCTTAAAATTAATCATTGGTTGAGCACCATAAAGAATCAGAAAAGAATTCCCTGTCTAAGATGATGCAAAGAAAGCAACTGCACAAATTCTCAGGCATGTTGCTCCAAGGACTAATGACACTCGGGTAATTTTGCACTTAAGCCTGTTGGGGGATTTTCTTCAAGGTCAGGGTAAACTATCTGTAATCATCTAAAATAGTGGAATCCTTGTCCTTGATTTATTAGTGTTATGTGTAACGAGCCATGTACTGCATTTTTTAAACATAAAAGAATTCATATGCAGTACGGATGTAACCTTTCTGAGAAGTTCAGCAGTTACATACCAAGAAAGTACACAATGATCAACGATGAGATTGTCTGCTACAGTAACTATTATTCATTTTATCTCTCTAGTAGGCTCAATTACATTACCATGAAAGGTCGGGTGCAAACTTCTCAGCCAGAATAGCTGCTTTAAGTGCTAATTCCTCACGCATTGCAAACTCTGCTGTGCTGAGATACTACAAAACAGTTGAGATTGCAAACTAATCATTTTATGTAACCAGGTAATAGCTTGTTCATTTCTTTCTTTTGTTTATTGTTCCATGTGGTTGCTGTTGTGAAGATTGTAAGGTTTACATGACAATAGATTTTCAAATTGCATGAATAAGTTTGGACCTAGTTCCATACCTGCAGTAATTCTTCAACTATATCCTTTGCATTTGAAACATCACACATGCCATAAAGCAAATCAAGAGCACGCCTCCGAATGCTGCACATAAACGAATGTGGGTAAAACAAACTAGATTTACCAAAATTTGGCATAGGAAATAAAGGAGTTGCATTGTATCAACTTTGCATTTTAATGCGTTCCTAAACCTTTCAGAGAAACTAGTTTAGTAAACAACCTTCAAGTATAAGTTGCATTTTCACAAAAACAAAAAAACAAAACCTTAGAACCCACTCATTAACAAGATAGGAGAACATAACAATTAAAACCAAGATCTTGAAAAGAGAATTTCTCCTGTGATCTCAAGTCAATCGAAATTTTCAACATGGGGTCAGCAGGAGTGTAATGAAGTGAAGCAATGAATGGGCATCCTATCTTGAATTGCCCCACTTTATACATACGTGTAAACTTATGTTACCAATAAGTAAAGGCCGGCTTCTGAATGCACATAGATCAGTGATGATATATACAGGATCAATGATATCAACATATAGGACAACACATGTAACCTGATGTCAGGATCTTTCAACGAGGTAATAATCTGAGCTTGATGTCTTTTTATGATATCTTGTACATCAGTAACCATCAACATTCTTGTCATATTCTCCTGCACCATAATAGCGTACATGTTATTAACTGAAACATTGCATTATGACAACCAATACCACCAAGCCCTGTAAACTATGATACAATGAGATCTACCACAGAATATTGATCATGCAGTCTTCGTCCCTCCCTCCTTTCAAAAAGAAAGAAAAGAGACATATGCATTAATCAAGTGCTCCCCTCAACTTACCAAGCCAAGATACCGAATGTTTGGTTCCCGGACAGCAATAAATTTTCCGAGAAGAGCCACACACTGAGACATCATCTCTTTTTCAGCATCAAGATGCATCACCTGAAGAGGGCAATCAGAGTAGAGACTATAACTACAACATTCCATTAAGAGAAAAAAATTTCTTTATGTAAATTGGGAGGGGTTAACAACCACCAAATTCACTGCATGCATCTTTATATAAGGACACCTACAGAACCCCCCAAATGCACACTATAACCATTCTTACAAGGATGTGCATACAGATGTATAGATAGAAATGAAGACAACCAATCAAATATGGGAAAAGAGAATAAAAGAAGATATACAGAGAAATGATATTTCATTTCTCTCATTAAAGATTGCTACATGATTATGGATAGGTGTGTTTTTGAGAGTCTCAAATGGTAGAGTAATAGAGCATATTCTCACTTAATATTATTTAAGCACATGGCAATGTATATGGATATCTCCATAACTATATCTACTTCAGCAGTAAACTCACATATGAAGAAGAACCATTTAACATTGAAAAAGCTAGAAGTCCACAATAAAAAGTTGGGGCCTACTTTACTACGGTTTCAATCAGTTTGACCAGTAAAATTCTTAATCGTTGGATTAGCATCTACGCAATGTCATATACGGCGTGGAATATAAAGAACAAAAATACTGTTTTTTTTTTTTTCAATATAGTATAGCGCAAGAAACATACCAGAGCAAGGGCTTCAAAAAGAACAGCATGGGATGCATTATTTTTGTTGACATTTTTTACAACATCAGTACCCATCAGTATTCTTTGTAAGACCTGAAATGATAAATCAAGGTTAGGTAAAATTTATTAACTAAGCAAAAGTTTTGGACATGTCAATGTGATGTTACAAACCTCAAACAGTGACCTTCTGGCATTAGGATCTTCAATTGTAGGAAAATATTGAAGAGCCCTCATTGTTTTGACCTACATCAAGTAAAAATTGGTAAAAAATAAAAAAATAAAAAGAGGTTTGTGTGCTGGATAAAATGAAAATATTAGTTCAATACTTTTGGTTCTTAATAAAAACAAGGTCTAAGAAAATCTTCCTTCAACCAAAGCCAATTGACAAATATATTAGAAAAATTCACAAACCTGAAGCCAGGGAGATGGGATACCATAGTAAGTGTATTCTTGAGGGATATCCTGGTTCCTAGCAAGCCGCTCTAAAATTTTGATACACTTGGGAAGACAACTCCAATATGCCTCATGATTATTTGATACTAGTGCAACAAGAAGACTCATAGAAGACGTCAAAACACCAAGGTCTCGTTCATCCAAAAGTTGTGCCATCCGATCCGCCCTTGAGGTAAAAAGGGTGTAATAAGATATTTGAAGGAAAACATAGAGAAAAAAATGTGTATACTAGCATAATTACATTGAGATTTACCATCCATCTACATTGACAACATCAGGATTTTTCCTGTACAAGCGCAGCAAACACAATGCAGCTTTTTTTCTGACAAGTGGTCTGCAACTGCTTGATATCTAGATCACAATATGCAGTTAACATCAATATTTTCCAATCAAGCCACCTATTTAGTGATAATGCAATAATTCTTACCAGCAACCTCTGCACATCAGGTGCTAAGGACTCAGCAAATTCTCTCCCACCAATATTTCCAACCTTCAAGATAGAAGACATAATATGGTGGCAGTTGTCAACTTTCATGATCTATACTAAATGCACACATTACCCTCTACATGAATTTTAAAAAATATATTAAAGTGAGACCCTTTAGCTCATATACATCGAAACCATAATGGCAAAGAGAAGTGCATAAAGAGTCATCTAATGTTTATAAGTTTATATATTATATATATTCATTGCAGGTCCATATTAACAAGTAAAATTTTATGGTACATGATCAGCAGAGGATGGTAAAATGTATAGAAGAGAAAGTCCTCCACAAATGGCAAAACTTTTTCTTTGACTTCTTGTTAGTACATTAAGATACTAAAAGTAATATATGTTATCATTAAATCATTAATATGACAAGCAAGTCCAGAATAGGTATTAGCATACCATAGTCAATGCTAGACACTGGAAGGTTTCATTACGACCAATGATATCATTGCGCACTGTATTTATAGCCAACCTGAGAAAGTCATGATTTTCATTAAGCAAACTTGATGTTACAATGTACCCAACCTGCAGTCATTAATGAGAATATTATAGTTCCTTCTTCACAGTTTATAGACATTTTCTCTGCTAGGTAAACATGCAAATGAACTGAAGCTGAAGCAGCACTCCAAAAAGACAGAGTAATGTACAAATTGAGAGAGAGTGACAAAACATTATAAAAAGGCATCATGAAGGAGAACAAAAATACCTGTTTTTCAGGATACTTTGGGGCAGATATAAGAGACACAGCTTCCATGTGACCAAAATCCACATCATAGCCAAGCATATATATATAAAGCATTTTCCAAACATATTTCTTTTTCTCATATGGAGTCAGAGCCTAAAGGCAGAACCAGAGGTAAAAGAATTAAATACAGCAATTCAGATGTGAAAGACATTGAAGTTGTATTGAATAACAGCAAGCAAAAATGGAACTTGAGTAATAGATGACAAGATATATTTTACTTTCAGTCAAAAATTTTAGTATAAAAATGCTAAATTACCAGGAAATTTAAACAAATTAAAGCATTTAGATAAAGGCAAACAGCTTTGGAAAGGGTAAACCAAAAATTAGAAAATCCTGCTCTCCTAAAAGCAGGAAGTCAACAAAATAAATAAAAATAAAGGATTTGAGAAATCAGGAAAAACAAAGTTGAGAAACTCATTTTTCTAATTAAAAGGGTAGATTAACAGATATAGAGGGAAAAATTATTATATCAAAACAGCAAATATAGAAGAAAGAATAAATAAAACATATTTGAGGACACAATTAAACCAACTTTGGCACCTGTAGTTACAATTGTAACAATGCAAAAAAGAAAATCAATTAGTCAATTGATGGTTCCAAAATCCTCCGGTGTGAATTCTATGTATGATGCCAACATTTGATCCAAAAATGACGGTTTATAATAAAAAACGATAGGCACTATTAGAGTTAGGTGAGATCTATGTTGGCAAGGATAAAAACAGATCCCAACAAGGAGTCGTGCAGCAAAGACAAAAGTCAAACACCAGTCTTCTGCATCCATCACTGTCCAAGGCTAGTATAGATCTTCAATGTGAGAGGTTCATTTAGAAACTAAACTATAACTCATTGAAGGTGATGGTTATGAAATTTCTTCATTTAGTACTGTTTATAATTAATAATCAAAATATGAAATGTCTTAGTTTACTAGTCGAGGCAATGACATTGCAATCCCCATAATCATAGATGATCAATTTCTGTAACAAAATTCTATTCAGAGCCACACATATTTGGAAACATACAGACATACGTGTGACTGAGTGAGTCAACTTGACCCGAACAAATGAATTACATCTTACATATATGATAATAGCTACTTTTGTGCTACAAAAATGACGTGCTGCACAATTGCACACATTCTATTTATTAGAATATCCATCTTTGCACATTTTAGTTAATCTTTAGATTTTTAATTAGTTAGCCTTCCATATATTTTCACGTTTAATTAGGGCTTTCAGGTATATTCCATAATATTTGTTTTACAGATATTATGAAGAAAGAGAACCAAAGAAATTTTACATAAGCTCAAAATTTTTACATCTCTAAGTTCATGTTGGAGACAATTAAAAAACCATTTCCTTATCCAAAAATAAGAGCTAAAGGCTGATAAGGATTAGAGCACCAACAGTCCAAAACAAATCAGGAAAAATGACTCCCGGACCTAATATACATAAATGAAAGAGGAGAATTTTTAGAGACAAAGAAAGTTGTCAGATAGGGAGCTTGCATAGGGAGGATTCATGCTTTGGGTTAGAAGAGGACTAGAAAGTTCTGAAGGAAAAGTCACAATCAAGAATGACGTAACTTTACAATTTTATATTTTTCTTCCATTATTTATTGATAAATAATTTCCTGTTAGGATGAAACAGCTTGGTTTGGGTGATGATTTTAATTGGGTTCCTATGATTAAATTTAAGCTTACTTTCTATCCAATTGAATGTTAAAGTTATTTATGCTGAATTGGCCGTTTATAATCTCGGGGGTTGTCAGGAAATTGGAAAATTTACATTTGACCTGTCTAAGACCATGCCAAAAAATACCATAATCATTAATTTTCTAGGAATAGTGATGAATGGGATTTTTTGCTTTCAAAAACAGAATTAATTAGGTTTTAGAAACTAAAGAGATTTAATGCAGCAAGAATTGAGTATTAGTTAATCTAGGGAACCTCTCCATCAATTGATTGATTAAGGTGGTATACGAAAAAGTAGTTGGAAAAACCAAATGATATTGGATCACCCATGTATTCAACATTGAATATTTACTCTCTAGCTAACCAATAATTATATAATAGTCAAACAAATTATAATATATTAGAAGTCAATTCCTCACCTTAGGCAACCATTTCTAAAAGGGGAAATTTTCTTACGTATCATTATATAGTTTCATATGCATGCTTTGCACGGTAAAAATATGGCCACCGGAAGTTATTTCAGAAATAAACTATGCTACTTGCAATGTATTAAATCTACCGAATCTGTTCAAACTGAGAAGAACTGGTCTTCTAGCACATAAATATCTACACATGAGCTATTAAATTGATCGATAGCATCTGTCATTCTATGTTATCGTCAATGTTACAGCCAAAGGGTTACTAGAAGTGAACAGAACAGAATAATTTAAAACCTCGACCAAGAACGGATACCTATCTGGACAGAACACTCCATAACCCCAAAAATTTCAGCTTATAGCTGTTTTTTCCACGTACTCATCAACAACCATGCTATCATGAAAAACATTGTTTTTCGCGCAGCAGCAAACCAATACAAATCTTAGGTCTAAACATCTCAAACCCGCTAAAGTCCTACTCATTTTAACATTTAAAGCACGCTCCATACCTAATTATCCTCCATCGATTTTAAACATCAATCTCAACACTACCAATAGGTCATCGATTTCAATTTTCTAGGTTTCCACTGCCTTGGAGTGATAAAAACCAACAGACTCCGGGGAAAAAAAATCTCGAGCAACATAACCAGCGAGAAACGGTGAAAAAACAACAGGAACTAGTGCCAATTGAAGTGGAAAAGCTGAAAGGAGAAGAGAAACCCTAAGCGAACCTTCTCATTTTTGAAGCGAGTGCGTATGTTGCCGAGTTCCTTGTCAACGCGGAGCCTCTCCTGCTCCTTGTTCTGGCAATTGCGGATATCGCTTATGAAGACGGAGAGTCCTCGCATCCCCGACATCGCCATCACCTATGGCGCTCGTAGATCCCTCTCTTCTCTTCAGATCCCCAAACTCGATTCGGTTGCGGATTCGATCGGATCCAACGCAACTTTTGAACGGTCGTTGATCTTCAGCTCCGAATTGCACAAACGCGAACGGAGAACGGAGGAGGAGAATTCAGTTGTGTTATGGTTGATCTAGAGCGAGAACAGTTCAAGAGGGGAGAGAGAGAGGGTGGACTGACGGAAATTGAAAAAGCCCTCGCACACTGCTGGAACCACCTTTTATTTTCCATTTTTCATACCATTTTACCATTCCATCATTCCATCATTTTCTGTTTTTTTTTTCACCTATGACTTTTCTTTTTCATAGACTTCAATTTCTACTCGATTAAATTATATATATATATATATATATATATATATATATATATATATATATATATATATGTTTTGTGTGTTTCTGTGTGTAAAAATACACTCTTTAACATCATTTTTAACATATCTCTTCCATTAATTTTAAAATTTATTAAAATTACTAAATTTATAAGTTATACTGCTTATTTAATGACTCTTAATTTGTTAAAAACCAAAAAAAAAATTATAAAAGAGGTAATGAATAAGAGTGTTCTGAGAGCTTTTGATAATTTTATATTTTATACATAGAGAGAGATAATTGTGTTAAATATTTATGAAAAATAATATTCACAGTTATTTTATAATGCGTTTGATTTCATTTTTTAAACATGGTTCTTTATGTTTTAAATAGCAGTTTTAAAATTAATAATAAGGAAAAAGGTTCATGGACAAATTTTTTTCTTATCAAATAGTCAATTAATAACTTTATTTAATAATAAAATAATAATGTAATTAATTTGTTTTTGGTTGAATCATTTTATAATCATATTATTAATAAATTAAGTTATCTATATAATAACTCTACTAGTTATATCTTTAACAGTTTCCAAACACATTCCGAAGCCACTCTAGTTAAGTCTTTTGTTTCTCTCTTCTAACTTGTAAAGCAAAAAAAAAAAAACTTATGTTCACTGTTTTTCTTTCATTATTTTTTTTGTGAAAAAAAAAATGTTTTTTTGGTTTGTTGTCTTATTTCTTCTTCTATGATTATAATATTTATTCTCTCTCTTATGTCTTTGGTGTGTAAGTCAAGGGTATATCGAAAGCGTCGAAGACTCAAAGTCATACTTTTCCTCCTTTGCTTTACTATTGAAATTGGAATTATGTGCATTTGGAGGGTATATTATCATAGATTTACCATATTCACTGGGTCTTATTTGAGTTTATACATTAAGTAATCGTTTTTACTTATCTCTCTAAACCCAGCATTATCTTACTTAAATGTTTTAAGATGTTAATATTTTATTGATCTTCTATTTTTACTTATTTTTCCGTATTTGATAAACCCGAAAAATCATATGAGTTATATTTTACATTTTGCCTGTTAAAGAAAATAGAACAAAGTATGATAATAAAGTGGCACATTCTGATTATACTAACAAAATGTCAGCTTAAACAAATGAAACCACGATAAAAAAAATTGTTTTATTGTTTTTTTTTTTACCAAATGTTAGGTTAAGTACAATATTTGTGAGTATTTACACTTGGAATGAAAGACAGTGCATTCTAAATAACTTATTATTTATACTTTCTTTTTTTAAATAACTCATTCCTAAATTTACTTTTTAAATGGAGTTGCTTTCGTTGCTTATTGAAATAGTTGTTACTTTAAAATAAAAGACATCTTATTAATCAAAACAATTAATTAATTTTGCATAGAAAACATAATTAACTTCCGATTAATTTATATTGACAAATACTATTATGTATCATAATCAATTTATATATATATATATATATATATATATATATATAATTGCTTAAAAATGTTTAGAATTTCGTTAAATTGAGTATGGGTTGATTGTGACACTGCAAAACCCACCCTTTATATTTTTCAATACAGAAAACAACTATGGTAAGTTGCACCAACTAGAGTTGTCTTAAATACTTATTAATTAAAATGTAATTTGTGATTTTATGTATCACCAAAACATTTCCAGTAATCCATGTAACTTGTTTATGTATGGAAAAATGTAATCTTTGTTTTTATTATACATATCGAACAACTCAACCATAATTTCACTTAAAAAAGTATTTTATTTTTCTTAAAGATGAAACATTTATATGAGTTTTAAGCAATTTTTGTAGTAGCGTACGTGGAAGAGAGTTTATTCAAGTAACTCAAATTGAGAGAATTCAAGGCAGAAAAATAAAACTAATTAGAGATGACTCTAATCTGTAATATTATTTTTATCCTAAAACTTTAAAATATTGAATTATAAATTTTTCTTATTTATATGTTATTTAACTTTTATTTTTTTATTTTACTTAATGTGAAATTTTTTTAATTTTTTTTATGAAAGATTATTTCATTGTATCACTCTGGAGCTTTTGGTTTAAAAAAAAAAATTGATCATATAATCTTGTGAATATTGTTCAATTAAAATGACCTAGTGTGAAGAATATTTGGGTTAAAAAATTATGGTGCAGTGTAGAATTGAATCCCAAATTAGTATTTGGTCTTAAGTTCCCAGCTGTCAAACTCCACAACATTGTGTTTACAGCTGGACTGGCCCCTATGCTGCTTATATAAAACTTAAAATGTTACGTACTATATACTTCATTTTGAAAATAAATTATTATTCATTTAACTAATTTTTTGTTGAGATATTTATAATTTATAATTGATATATTTAAAAAAAAATGTAAGATCTAAATCAAAGGGTTTGTGAGAACAAACAGTAGAAGTTAGACGCATTCTTATATTACATTATATATATATATATATATATATATATATATATATATATATATATATATATATAAACTTAAAATTTTAGTAGGGACAATCGTTTCCACCACGACCCTTAAATATATTTTTATCACTGCAAGTCATTATCATTTGCATAAAGTCATGTTGATACATTTTAATTCCATTATTATTTATGTTCTCATTCATAATTTAAAATTTACATGCGTAAGATATTTTAAAGTTGATATATGTACGTAAGAGATGAAATAAAATAAAATAATAATAATAATAATAAAAAGTGGTATGTACAAGTATAAGTCAAAAAGTAAACAGAAATAATAGGGTTTTGTACGGATAAACGATACCAAAAATCACATCTAATTTTTATACTTTCAAACCATTTTGTATGATTTTTTCTTGTAAACATGAATTAATATAATTTTATAATTATTAGTAACGAATCTTCTTAAAAATTCAGGGAGGATGTCCTCAAAAAATTCTCCATATATAATTTTAGTCTTTCACTTTTTATTTTATTTATTTTTTATATTTACCAATTATTTATCAATAATATATTATTTAATTAAACAATTACTATTATATGTCCAAATTTCTTATTTTATGTCTAAACAATAGCAGTTATTGACCTTTTGTCCATGTGATTTATTTGTTATCAGACAAAAAATTATTGCATTAATGTTACCTACTATTTGGTTGGTCGGATGACCAGAATAATGGTTAGTCTTACACAATTTAATTAAAAAATAATATAAATGTAATTTAACAAAATCGGCTATTATTATTTTAATTTAAACTGGAAAAAATATATTTTGCCTAACCATCATCCCTGATTCTTTGTCCTCTGGAGGAGACTCAAGTCTAACAATGTCATAATCAGAGAGAGCATGAAAAAGTCATGGATCAAAACAGTAATACTATGTTTAGATGAAGATTTTCTAAACCATATTTTTTTGAAAAAAGTGTTTCGAATATTTTATAAGAAAAATACGTTATTTAAAAAAAAAACTTACATGAGAAATATCATTATTTAGAATTATTAAATTTGAAAACTTACTTAATAAAATTATATATTTTTTTTAAATTACACTCCCTAATTTCAAATTTATATATTTTTTTCATATTATTTTCTTCAATTTCATCAACATCAAAATATTATAGAATTTTTATGATATCTTCGACTTGGTCGAGACTTCATCCACTTAATATATTTTTACAGAGATACTGACAAAATTCTTTTAAAATTAAAATCAATTATGATTATTTTCTGGAAGTTATTGTCAAAATTATTTTTCAAACTAAAATTGATCGTGGTCAATAATATTTGACCTTAAATAAACTAAAAACCATATTGGTCAATAATAAAGAAAAACCTTAGTTTGAATAAAATTTTTAGCGAAACTACATTCAAAAAATAAATTTCAACTTACATCAAGTAAAAATAAAAACGCTATGTAATATTTTTAAATCATTAAATATTTTATTATTTAATAATTAAATAAATTATGTATTTAAAAACAAGTAAAATGCTTTATTTTAAAAATTCAATAAATTTAAATTACTTTATCCAAACAAAACAATAGAAAGAAACAACTTGAGATGGTAACTATTCAAGCTCAATATAGTTTAATTTTCTTAGAATTTTCTATCCAAACACATGCTAAAATAGATGCAAAATTAATTACATTTCCAATGCTTAGATCTCCAAATAAGAGAATTTCCTAGTTTAGTTCCTAGTTATAAAAATCTTAATTCCATGAACATATCTGCCCCACCTAAGTTACATAACATTGGATGAGAATGAAAGTAAAAAAAAAAATGTAGAGAAGAAAAAGCAGGAGGAGGAATGAAGTGGTATGGTCGTATCTAAACCACAAGAAGATGACCAAAAGATTGAAAAAGAGGTTGAGAGTTTCACTTCTTGGTTTGAGAAAGAGCCCTTTTTTCCTTTGGGACAAGAATTGCCAAGCCAACTTTGGACAGAACTTTCAAAAAGGTCAAATTGCAAAGTGTGGACACTCATTGTACTCCACTCCTTTTGGCCCAGTCAACGAACTGCATGCCACCATAGATGTTGTTGCCAAATCGCACACCCACAGTGAATGCCATTGCCACAAGTGGGACCCTCTTTGCCACCACAGATGCTTCAACAAGGCTTTCTAGTCCATTGATAATTTGATAACGGGTGTTGGATGACACAGCAAGGAAGAATCCTGATAAAGAGAAGGGAAACAAATAAAGCAAATTACATGGTAAGAATCCTATAGCATCATCATCTCTTATAGAACATTACATGGTAAGAATCCTATAACATCATCATCTTCTGTTCAGAACGGTTCTACATATCATGAACTGTAATGTTGGTAAATATGACCCTAGGTCCTTCTGAGGCTGTGACACTAGCACAACAATCAATCCCCACTTTCCTTCCTTTTCTCCCTTTCATCTCTAAAGAAGGTGAAGGTACATGAACATATATGCAAATGCAACCTTGTTGAAAATAAGGCAACAACTAAGCTCAAATGTTTTTATGTCCATCTTGGGAGCAAGAAACCAAAAATACAACACTTTTTTGAAAATAATGGAAATGACTCATTTTTAATAAAAGATAATGGAAACGTGAATATGAAAATTCAGTTTCCGAAAGCAAAATTCATGGCTTATATTATGTCAGACGCTTTATACAGCAGAGTCAACAGAAGAAACTGAACAAAATAGTTCATAACAGACTAGAAATTGAAATTTTAAATAAACAGGATAAGACATACCCCAAAGAGCAGCACTTTGCAGAAGAGGAGGCACGGGTATGTCATCTTCAGATTTCTTAATGCTCCTGTTTCAAATAAACAAACACATCACATAATTTATAAAAGCAAGAAATGACAGTGACACCCCCCTCGTAAAACAAAATGCAATCGTGCATGTGCATTTGCTCTCGATAGTTATACACAACAACAAATTCAAACATGTATTATAATAATTTAGCCAACACGGGATAAGTTAATAAGACATTTTTTAATAAAATAGTATAACAACAGAACCCATCCCGGGTAGGCTTACCTTTTGGCATTCATGATCATGTTTGCAATTCCTTGACCAATAATACCACATCCAAATCCAACCGATCCATACAATGCACCCTGAAAACAGAATGTCGGGTATACAAGAATAAACTAATACCAGAAACCAAGGAAAAAAATATAGCAGCAATAGCACTATAACTAATACTAAAGCAAATGGAAGCATACTAATCCACGCAGTGGAGTCTGATTCTATTATTTACTGGATATGGTAAATAATCTATATTCTGCCATAAATTAAATAGTTATTTAACATTTTAAGTTTCAGAACATAGGGCACCTTGTAGAAGTATGTAGCAATGCGCTGCATCACAGAGAATTTACATCCTGGCCTTTCAGCTTCAAAAACACTGCATTGAAGTTGTAATTTAGTATCATATCCATAATTTCACATTCAACTAGATCTCTGAAAAGTATGGAGAAGCTTATAACAACATAAGCAATTTGAAGTCAACTAATAGTTTCCACTAGGCATAATGAAGAAAGGGGGGGGGGGGGGGGTATAATATAATACAAGTAATTTCAATCTAAGAATGAACTGCTAACTAACACCAGCCTCCGTATACAATTTCACAGTTAATGGATGCTACACAATACAACAACAAAAATAACAATACAAGTCTAATCCAATAGGTAAGATCGGCAAATAGATTACATGACACCATGAGGCTGGTTAAGGACCGAATCCTCATTAGGTTTGCTGCACTGAATATGCATGAAAAATGGTGACTTTGAACAGAAACAGAATTAAGTCTTGATGCTGTAAATTAACAGATCATGAAAATCACACATTGGAACAGCAATATTCAATTCAAAAAATTTCCATCCCTTTCCAAACACTAACCTGCTAGGAAGAGCAGCACAAGCATGTTGAATTTGTCCAAGTAAACCTTTTGACAGAGAAGGCTTGCCAATTCGAGCATAGGGTGCTAACATACCCACCAAAGCAATGTCAACAACCACTCCAACCAGAAGATCAGCAGCATACAACTCAAATTCAGCCCAGAAATCCTTGCCCCTTTTCTGAACCTCTGCAAATGTTGCACAGCAAGAGTCTATAACAATCTGCACATGCCAAAACAAGGATAATCAGGTCCCCACATCTGATCCAGAAAAACTAAAACAAAAACACTCATCAAATTGACATCAGAACCATTGCCACATCATGATACCGAGAACAAAAGAGTGAAAACATGTTTGGATTTCAGATTAGAGGCTTTAAAAGTTATTTTATTCTAAAAGAAACATTTTTCATCTTATTATTAAGCATTTGTCTAAGTTATATTCAAACATAAGTTTAGTATATTTACACAGGCATCTTCTCTTACAACTTTCTTCAACGCTATCTTTTCTCTCTCTTTCTTCTTATTTATCATTGCATCTATTAATTTCTCTCCCTACTTTTAATATATATATATATATATATATATATATATATATTTATCATTCTTCCTTCCAACCATTCATAAAAGAAAGGTAAACAGTTAACATTTTCCGGAAACAAACCTCGGTTCCAACTTTGAAAAGAAATGAAGGGTCCGCGAGCATTCGATTTCTCAGCATGGAACAATGCTGCATCAGAAAAGATAGAGGCCAAGACGAACCCTGCAATAATATTAAAAAGAAAAGGCAAATTGAGAGCAATCAGGGAAGAAAAAACACTTTTTGAACCCAAAAATTGAAACTTAGAGAGAACCCACCTGCAACTCCAAGTAACGAAGAAGAAACATTTCCCGAATGCCGATGATCCTGGCGGCCTCCACCATATCCGGAGGCAGCTTCACGCCACGAGCTTCCGATTCTCTCATAACCGCTTCAAAATTCAAAAGGGGTCCAAACTCTTCATCTCCTCCTCCGTCTCTGTCTCCTCCACCACCGTCGCCGGTGTCACCGTCACCTCCGCCGCCGTCTCCACCGCCACCCAAAGAGGGTTGATCATGTGTGATTTGTTGCAATGGGAGGAGGGGTTCGGAGGGGACGCACTGGATTCTGAAGGCGCGCGCGTGGATGAGGGAGTGGCGGAAAATGATGGGTGAGGAGTGAGGAAAGTGGGAAGTGTTGAACTGGGGGAGTGACCATGAGGCGGCGCCGTTGTTAGAAATGGTGAAGGTTGACATGCTGGCGCGGCGGCGCGTGAGGTGACAAAACAGTTGTGTATGAGTGTTGTGTTGGAAATAAATGTGACAGTGAGAAAGAGGAAGAAGAATGGGTTGCAATTGCGACAGATCGGGCTTTACTCTAGGATTCTGGAGTCAAACGTAACTACAAATTTTATGTAATAACAGTAATTAATTTCAAAGAAAAATTAAATAATAATTAATATATATATATAAAAAAAAAGACAGCGTCGCCTGAGAGATTCGAACTCTCGCGGGGAAACCCCATGTACTTAGCAGGCACACGCCTTAACCACTCGGCCAAAGCGACACCGTTGTACTTCTATTCACAAATATTTATGTTATACTAATAACATTAGTTACCCTTAACTTGAAAAGTTGTTTTCTAAGAGCTTACATTTTAAAATTTTATTAGGTTATATTCTTTATATTTTGATTTATGTAGCAATTTATCAATTTTTTTTTCTACATCTACATTTTTTTTATATCCATATCTATAAACTTACACAATTCGGTGTTTTTATTGTTATTAGTTTTTTAGATATTCTTAATTTGATCTATACAAATTTAATATATATTTTCAATTTAGTTATTATATAGTTTATTTGTAGCGTATTCGTAATTTGGTCTCACATGTAAGAAATGAAATAAAAAATTAACAATAACAGATACCAAAGCTAAATTAGGAATGTATAAAGAAAATAGAAGATACTAAATCGGTGATATTTTGTTTAACTCATTTTTAAATTTAAATTATTATTTTTTAATTACTGTGATCATAAATATTAGATTATCTTTAAATTTAAATCAAATTTATTTTATTTTCACATTTTTATATTAATTATTTCATTAAAAATATAATAAAGTAATTTTATTTTATCAAAATTAAATAACATATAAAACAAATATTTATTATACACGCTTGCAAGAAATAAAATATATTACTACAAGGAATAAAACTAATAATAGAGTTATCAAAATGGACGAATCAATCTAATTTAACTTAAATTTACAAATAAAATAAAAAAAATTAAAAACTTATTTATTATTATTATTATTTATTTTTTAAAAATAAAAAATGATAAATAAAAATGTATTTTGATACTTATTCTTAAAATAAAATAAATGAATTTCTTCTCGTATTAATTTATAATATATATATATATATATATAAAATAATATTATTAAACAAGCTAGTCCATAAATTTATATCATGATCTAAATGATAGTTATAAAAATAAATTTGATTCATTATAGATCATAAGGAATTTTAGTTTATCCTGCTTTTATTTTATTGAATCTTTCATACTAAACCTCGTATCCTACCCAGAAGTATAGTATTTTTTCAATTAATCAAAATTTGATAGACGCAAGAATTAAAAAACATCATAAACTCCAAATTGCCGACCCTAACTGGGCAGAAAAAACAGCACATGTGACAGACAGAGAGCATAAAATATTGGATTTTGTCATTTATAAGGAAATTACAGTCTTCACAACTATACAATATTTGTCATCTATGAAAGAAGCTTTGCTATAAGCACAACACCATTGTCAGTTACATTTGTTTGCGAGTTCCCCAACCTTTGTGCATCAGCTTTGCATCAGCACTAGGGTGAACATAGATGGTTCTTTCTTCGATGACAATAATGTTCTTCACAAATGGGTCTAAAACAACATCTTCCACTGTCAATATCTTCAAATGAAGAATAAATGTATAATGATAATAAATACAGGAGCTATTCCCCTAACAAACAGGACAATGTGAAATTGCCTACATAAGTTTACAGCCAATTTTACACGAGGGAAAGAAATGGAAAATGTTCAAATATGCAAACTGGTGAATAAAAGGGCATAATGGATTGAGAAACATTTTCCTTCCCTTTCCCTTGTACAAAAAATTTAAAACCATACAACACTGCTATATGTATATTTGAATAAAATTAAGAGGGATTATGGTTTCTTGATACTCAAGTAAAACTTTCCGAGTGCTTGGACTTAAGGGAACGCCTGGCGCGTTCAATGGAAGCTCTTGGTGTGGATCCAGTGCGGTTGAGGGATTCTGGTTGAGCATCTGAAGGCCGAGGAATGAGCTTACACCCGATTTTCCTGGCAACCAACCGAGGGGAGCTTCGGGAACTGTGAGATTTGGTCACACTTTTCATTTCTTGCTTTATTTTACTGAACTCTTCTTCAAGTTCTCCAACTCTAGAACTCATCCTATCCATGTCCACCTTTAAAACCTGGTTTTCACGCACAACAGTCACCCATCCATCTCTTTGTACAATTTCACCGGCTAAGGCAGTAACAGGAACAGGAACTGCTGGAGCGATTTCACCATCCAATGCATTGAGACATCCTGCTAATGCTGTTCTCAAATGCAGTTGTTCAAAGAACAGCACTTGAAGAACAACTCTGAGGGGTAACCTGTCGTTTTGGGATGCATGAGCACAAGCATGGATTGAAAGTTTCTGGTAGTCAATGATGTTACATAGTTCTTCCTTCTCTCTATCAGAGAGCCAAGGATGAGCCTGCACAATACCATAAGCAGTCATCATCAAACTAACAATCCATGACCACAAATAAGTCTTTATGTAAAAGTGTAGCTCAGAAAAATCAAACCTTGAAATATATGTCCAGTGCCCTGTAAAGCCCATCATGCAATAATCTTGAGGACTCAGGGAGGGCCTCTGCAAGTCTGCGGATCTTTCCAGGTTTTAAATTAACATCAGAAGCAATTTCAGCAATGTAGCTATCTATCAACTTCGAAACCTTCCTCCATGAGTCAGATGATGGCGATGCTGATGTTTGCTGGTCATGGGATGAAGGAGAAAAGGCAGATAAATTTGATTCTGTAGATATAAAATAATGAACTATCTGTTCAATACAGTCAGTGTTGTATAATGCATCGGAATCTGAATATGTAGGAATTAGAAGACTATCCAAAGTTGCAAGTTCCAATTGCATCCCAATTCTCCTCTCCAAAGAATCCTTGCAAGTTTCGCTGACATTCAATATCAAAGCCACACGAAGAAGTCCCAGCAGGAAACGACAATAAGATTTTCCCTTCTTGTCAGGAAGAAGTTTCTCAATGCTTTCCAACAGAACCCTCTGATCAACCGTGGCAGGTGTCAAGCTGAAACTTGCAACTGTTCTGGTCTTGCCACCTTGACCCCCCTGCCACCGACCCAGACCTGGCAAGTGCTTTCTAGAATAATACATTATGGCACCTGCCAGGTTTTCAGGTCTTATACCTCTTGCTTGCATTGTCTTAATTAGCCTCTCAAATAAATTCACACTGAGATATGAGATGTCTTCAAACCACCAATCAGATTCTGAACTCCGAATTCTGGCACCAGTGTTTATACCATTCCAAAGAATGCTTCCACCAGGGCTCTGAAAACTCCCATACATCATCATGGGCCATCCAAACAAACTTGGGTCCGTACAAACCATCATAGATAGAGCATTCAAACACTTGCCCACTAACAGAAGCTTTTCAGCTCGAGGTAGAACAGGCTCGGAACTTTGGAGAGCCAAAATACAATCTTTCCAGCTGCGCAATGTGTTTTTATGGAAAAAACTCTCTGATTTTGATAACAAGTTACCTTCTCCAAATTCATCTGTCATTTCAAGGTATTCTGCAGCACAGTGAACCAATACTACATTTCTAGCGGTCAGTTCCACACGATAGCCGTAACAGAATTTGGCTGCAATCAAGAAAGTGTCAGGACCACCAGGAAATTCGTCCAGCACCATTTTCAGTGTCTTCTTATCACTATCCTTGGACTCGTCATATGCTTTAGCAATTTTTCCACTTTTTGATACAAGAGGAAACTGCAGTTCCATGGCATATCTTATTCAAACTTCAATACAAACAGTACACAAATAATTTTTCATACCAAAGGCGTAACAGTATAACTACCATAAAAAGAAGCCTTGTGGTACAGATATGGTCACTAGTTCGTCATGTAATAATGCATGGAGTCCAACTTGCAAAAAGGGGAAAAACCAGTTCTCAAAGGAATTTTCCAACAATATTTTAAATCTAATTCTGACTCGGGACTACGAAGCTAATTTAGACAAAACAGGAACAAGTGTTTATGACATGTGATAGACCTTACCTAGTAGCATAACTTCCAAAACAGCATATCATGAGAGTAAAACGTGTTTGAGAACTAGATAAATTTTAGCTTCATCACTAACTGGAAAAAAAAAAAATTTTACAACCATCATCTTAAACAATACCAATGAGCTGAATACGATCCATTTATATTTAAAGACAGTCTTGTCCCTGCCCTATCTGACCTTGAGCGGAAGGAATTTCAAGTTAAACTCCCAAAAACAAAACAACAAGAACATCACAACCTTTGAAAACCATAAAAGTAAGAATACGAGGTTGCCCATAAACTGGTGGTATTGCACTAAATTCCAATAAAAATGAAATTTATGGTGAAACCGTGAAAGGTTCGTGGTCATTGTAACAGATGGTTTGGTATCTTCACCAAATCTAATCCAATTCCCTTATATGAAGAGGGATGTTTAATTTTAGCACTTAAAAAACAGAGATGGAAGAAACGAGAAGCAAAAGCAAAAGCCATGAATCCCATCAACTCAGTTGGATCAATTTAAAAAAGAATAAAAAGTCAAACACAGAGAAGTAGGACAAGCAATAAACCAGTGAGAGAACAGAAGAGAAAATTTCTGAAAGGGAAGCATGTACCTTATGAAGATGGAAAGTGACACCCTCGATGGAAACAGTGATATCACTTGGCAGTCCCCCATTGCAGAACCTATCAAGACCACAAATAAAAAAATTAACAACATAAATCACATCAAAATCTTTTTTTTTTTTCGATATGCATGTCTGACTTGGACTCCACCCAGTAATCAGCTGAACAAAAGGTGTCATTTTCTCATCAGTCATTTAAAAAGGAAAAAAAAAAAACTACTTCAACACAGGAAATTTTGAGAAAGGGAGTACCAATCACTGCCTTCTCGACGAAACCCGGAAAGCTTCCCAGTAGGAGCCATGGTTGAGGGAAGAAAAGGCCCTCTTTTCCCCAGTTACTCTACCAACCCAAAATCATTGTTTTTTTCCTAAATTGTTGCCTCTTCTTCTTAATTCTAAAAAGAAAAAGGGAAAAAGAGAAAGGCACAGATTAAATAGTGTATCTCTCATACCGAAGGAACAAAAAAAAAAAAAAACTAGCCAAAGAATGGTGTAAAGATCATAGCCCCTAGAAACAGAATAACTAAAAAATTGGAAATTGTAATTAAAAGAACAGAGAATGACGCAGGATCACGACGGCAGAAACGGTCGAGGTAAAGTAAAGCAAGCTATAATAAAGAAAAATGCAGCGCCAGTTTCGTAAGTTAAAAGCCTTGGTACAAACAATATATATTAATATTACCAACTATTTATAAAATATTTTGTAGTCATAATAATAAGACCTAACTTTCTGGGCAAAAAACCACTTAAATATACTTTTTAATTTTCTAAACTTTGTAGTTGGTGTTAAAAAAATTTAATTGATTATTTTCGTTTTTAACTTAAGAAAAGTTCATTTCAATATTTTTTAATTCTGGCATTTAATACGAATACTAATAATAATAATAACAATAATAATAAAAACTCACAACAATAACATGATGGATGATGTGAGCGAATGCAAATGAATAAATAAATGGGACGATAAGAAAGACCACGAGGAGCGTCGTCGGGGCCAAGGAGAACATTACAGGTCAACAAAATGACAGGCGAGTGTGATGTGAGGTGGAAATTAGGTTTTGTCCCTTTTCTTTTCTTCCTTCTTCATTCTCCTTCTCTTTCTTTCTTACATAAAGTTTTGTTTGGTTATTCTTTCGGGGTTGTGTTGTGCTCAACTACTTTGCCTCCCTCACAATCAACTCCAATTACAACACGCGTGGCTTCCAATTCCTTGTTGCCTTAATCAGGCCAGTGGTTGCCACTTGTCGTGGTTTGGTGAGTGGACCCACTATCGCACACTCAAACATGGGTGCCATCCATTTTTTTTTGGAAGGGTAACATGGCTGCCATGGCTTATGCTTTGTTTGGTGTAACCGAATTTGGAGGAGAAAATTTGTTATATTTTGATAATAACTCATGAAATGAATGAGTGGTTGTATAAATAAGTAGATAATAAAATTAACATTTTTTTGTTCTCTTATTCATCAATTCAAAATGCTAATTTAACACAATCCTGAAAAAACTATTAACTACATTTTTCTTAAATTACGAAAATAACTATTGAACTAGAGAGTAATATAAAATAAGAATACTATGGTTTGTAACTTTTTTTTTTAATATTATTTTACGGACAAAATTATTTATAATCTATTTCTAATTCAAAATTTCAAGTTATTGGATTATATATTTTTTAATATATTATTTAATTTTCTTATTTTTTATTTATCGTAGGACTTAAATTTATATTTGATCTTCCAACACTTATTTTTTTTATTTATTTATTGAACCTTTATCGATTTTTTTATAAATATATATTTTTAAATAAACTAAATAAATAAAGATAATATTTATTCTTAAATTAAATATATGAAACAAAAACACAATTTAAGAAACTACAGAAGTAAATTTTAAAATAATTCAATTTTATTTAATAGATACTTTTAAATTCAAAGCTGAACACGATTTTTAACAAATGTTTTTAATATTTTAAAGAATATAAAATTATATATTTTAATATAATATTTAATTTATATGTAAAGGACTGCATAGTAATGAGCACTCTGCATATAATGATGCATTGTCATAAGTATTTTTTTTCAGTATGCCAGTTAAAACAATATCATTATTTCAGGTAATCTTCAACACCACTCATTCCAACTTCAATATTTTAAAACTAATACTTAGGATAGTTTGAGGGGCTTTATTATTCTCACATTCCTTTATGTTAACTTCATATTCCAAGTTTTTATGTAATTTTTTTTTTCAAGAATAATCTCAAGTTTTTATTAAAAATAACACACAATAAAGATATATTTTTACTATGTATCATTTGAATGATTAATAATTTCAAATTATAATATTAAATGAAATTTGATGTTTACGTTAAATATTGTGAAACCACACATTCTGCTATTAATTTAATTATAATACAATAAAAATGTATTTTGGTATTTTGGTTTCAAAACAACTTGAGATGTGAAGATAGCAAAATTTAAAGGGGAATAGCAAAGCCCTAGTATTAGATGAGGCCCAACAATTCATGTTAATCATGTAGATTGGATTTGATTGGAATACATATCTGAATGATTTTCTCTATAATTTAGTTTAAGAAAAATAATTAAAAAAATATTTTTTATAGATTAAAATTAGTTTGTTTAAGTAAAAAAATATTATTAAAATTATATAATTAAATTTCTATACATTAATTTTTACGTAAACATTTTAATTTATAAAAAAGACTTATTTAATTATTCTAAAAGAATTTAATGAGAAAGTCTTATGAAGCTTTAATGTATTTTCTTCGTTGCGGTTCTCTCTAATTTCTAAAGTGAGGATCATACATTATTTCTTTACTTAGTCTTACATTTTGTCGCGGATAATAGTAATTTTTATAAATTCATTAACAACATTTATTAATATTTCCATTTAAAAAAATATTTATATGAATCGATTTATATATTAAAAGTAAATTATGATTTTTATTATGTTAGTGACTAACTTACATTCAACTATGTATTAGTGAAAGAAATTCTAGAAAATTACGATTTTATATTTTAAATTTATATTAATATTTTTCAATTCTTAAAATTGAATAATTGCAAAAATCAACTCAAAAATATTTGAACACAATTTTAAAATACCCCTAAAAAAATGCTTCAACACAATTTTAAATTCCAAGCGAAATCTATCCAATGAAATAATTACTTCAAATAACTTTCAAACGTCTTCCATTTTGCAGGCTCTAAGAGACAGAAACTAATATCTTCAGCAAATATTATAAAAACGTAGTGCTTCATATTGGTACTATTCTGAACGTTTAGTATCTGTTTTGCTAAACAGATTACATTGTTTTTCATTCTCAAAGAAATACACCAAATCTTTCGTAGAATTCACTTTGTATTGGGTTCTTCAGTCTGGTACAATGCTGTAATTTGATACATTAAATACGTAATTTCCAACCAGACATATCAGTAAATTATGTGAGTGGAGTTTATCAAAATATGAGATATAAACATACTGTAGCAAAGTTTTCCATAAAATAAATTAATGACAATTAATAAAATATATGATAAATGTTACAGCTGAATCTTTCTTCCTCGTATGTTTCCAAATATGTCCAGTGGCCCCAAGCTCTGCGTGAAAATCACATTCCAGTAGCACAGAGTGTCCTTGATAATTCCAACTTCTTCATAAACATGCAATAAATAAGGTATGGGTATTTTTGGCTACCAAAACCAAAACCAAGGGGAAAATTACCATGTATGTTAAAAATAATCCAGTGAACTATATGTAAATGTCCTTATGGGCTGAACACTCTTCTGGAAGCAGTTCATCACCACACAAGATTAACTTGCCACGGGCTTTGCAATGGCTTTCTTGATGGCTTCAGCATAAGTTCTGTGCTGATAGGTCAGAGTGGATTCAAGCAGGTCCCAAAGTGAGGTCTTAGGATTCCAGCCTGAAAAAGAAGTAAAATCCCATTAAAAGGTAAAGTATATTATCTTAATAATCTTTTAAGGTAAAGTAGAACAAGGAAACATACCAAGTTGCCTATTAATTATAGTCATATCAGGAATTCTCTTGTCACTATCATCATATCCCTCACCATAAAATTCTTTGGAGCTCACATCAATAGTAGGTTTTTCCAGAGGTGCTTCTCCACTTACCTTTGAATAAACCTGCAGAATTGAATGAAAATAAATATTTTATGGCCCCATGTTAAAAAATCTAAAAGGGCCAAACAGTCAAACTTAATGCTTCAACCTGAGTCATCATTTCAGCAAGCTGCCTAACTGTAACCTCATTGTTTGGGTTACCCACATTAAAAATCTGTCCATTGGCCCTGGCAGGATTTTCCTGTTAAGAAGTTATTATTCACATCAAATGAACATAACAGTTTTAAGATGAACATCTACAATAAGATAATCTGCACTTAAATCATAAATTCTTATAAAAGATAGGGTATGAGCCTACAATCATCAACAAGACAGCTTCAATAGCATCCTTAATATACACAAAGGTTCTCTGGGATTGGCCACCATCCACAAGCTTGAGGGGCTCTCCACGGAGGAGATTCTGCAGAAAAGGAATGGAGAAAATATTTAGAACTGTAATTCAAAAATTTTGGCCACCATATATTCAATATCTTAAACAAAGTCTAAATCTCAATGTAAGCTCACATTGCTAAAGCATGCCAGAACCCGAGGAACACCCTCACTTGGACCATCAATGCCAGGTATGAAATCCATTCGTGGTCCAATCCAATTAAAAGGCCTCACAATTGTGAATTCCAAGCCATTTTCAGCGCCCTCAGCTGCCGACAACACCATCTCAGTGAGACAAAAATCAATACATGAAAATTGAAACACTCTACACACTCAAAAAGTAAAGAGAAAAAATGCAGCTTACCATAAATCAGCCTCTCAATCAACTGCTTAGCACAAGCATATGACCATCTCTGCTTTTCAATTGAACCAAAAATACAAGGAGACTCATCCTCCTTAAGTACATAGTATGCAGGATCCTAACACAACATTGGAAACAACATATATTATAACTCCTCACATTACCCAACAACCAAACCACTTCCTTGCTAAGATCCTGTTTAGATGAATTTTTATGAATAATGTTGATAAGAGCAGAAACAAAAGATAAAATGAATTAAGCTTCTTCCATAAAATAAAATCAAGTTATACACTTAACTTGTATAGAAGCTATGCCATCTAATGTACCCAAAAGCTAAAATTCAAAAATTGTTTTTTGTTTATTAAAAAACAAACTCAATATATTCTCTTTTTTCTAATTTTCTTCTTCCACAAGTTTATTCAAACAGTGTGTAAACAACATCAGAACACACACAAAGATAGATGAAAAACCGTGATTAAAAACCTCCATGATTGATAAACATCAAACCGTTTATGTATTGCAATTTTGAAACCATCATCGGTTATTCAGAGATCTACAGTAGTACGTCCAAGGAAAGTGAAAGGTTACCTGACGAAGTGCACTGTCTTTGGGGAGAAAGCTTCCAATAGTTTTCCCATACACTTCACACGTAGAGAAGTGAATGAGACGCTTGTTGTTTTCCGAACAGTACTTCACCTGAACACAAACTCCAAATTCCAATTCTCAATTCCAACTTCCACACATACAAATACACATTGAGAGAGAGAGAGTAGAAGTAAAAGGTACACGCACCACAGGAAGCGCGTCGATGAAGTTGCTGTAAATGGTGTCAAGAGGGCGCGTGTTGTAATCCGCGGGAGTGCATATAGCAGCCAGATTAATGGTCTAAAAATACACACACACACAATTGTGTCTCAAACACAACTATTTCAAGAAAATAACAGTGTAAGAACAAAAAAAATGATAGCATTTTTATGAGGGAAAAGGGGTGTAACCAGATCTGCGATCTTAATGAGGCCTTCGAGTCGGGAATCGTGCTTGATGTTGAGGCGGTGGAATTGGATGCGACCAGCCCAAGGGAGCGTGTCGGGTTCCAATAAGTGCTTGATCTTGTCGTTGTAGACATCCAAGGCGAGAACCTTGTGAGGGGTTTCGGACATGAGCTTCTCGCAGAGGTGGGAGCCGATGAAGCCACCGGCACCAATCATGCAAATGGTGATTGGGTTTATGAGGTTGCCGTCCAGATCTAGTCGTGGCGAAGCCATGGCGGAAAATGACTGATACAATGTGAGTGTCTGAAAGAGGAGAAAATGGTTGGAGAGTGCTTCTTCTCTTCGATTCCTTCCACCGCTGCTACTTACTGTCACTGTCAGCGTTTGTGTGATGTCAGAGCCTTGCACGCAAGCTCTATATAGTATATTTTTTTATTCTTTGCCTTAGGATTTTAATACCGCATAAAATATTCTAACATTATATTAACTATCATAATTTTCATGTTATGTAGAATAATGCATACTTTAAATAATAATTAATAAAAGATATATTATAATTTTAATAAATATCATTTTTATTTTTTATATTTTTATATAAAAAACATGATTATGTATTGTTGTTAATAGTAATTAATAAGGTTAAACATAAAAAGTAGTAAAAAAAGTTATATATAATAAAATTAGATTATTTACTTTTTTATATGATTTTTCTTAAAATATCTTTTTTTTTCCTTCTAATAAACCTTTTAAATTTTATAATATCAAGATAAATGTATTTCGTAAGGGCCTTTTTATTTTATTTTAAGTAAAGTAGTTTAATATTAACTGAAGCAGTGTTAATATAATAAGAGGTACTTTTGTTACTGTACAGAATTAAAGGGATTCTTTTAGAATGTAAAAACGAAAATAAAATTTATAATTTAATTTCTGTATTAATAATGTGCGTCTTCTTGATATTTTGTTTTTCTACTTATTTTGGAATATATGATTCATTTACAACTGTGTAATTTTTTTATATATTTAAATTAAAAATTAATACTAAGAGTTTCTTCCTGCTTTCAACCGGATTTGTTTGTAATTTAAAAAAAAATTGTAAAGTCGGTGAAAAAGACAACTTCTTCAAATTTATTTTAAAATAAAATAAATCATATTTTGAATCACGAATTTTCACATGAAGTTTATTTAAAACGAACTGTCTTGATATATATTTTAATTGGTTAATATTTTTAAATAACAGATTTAAAAATATTATAGATTAAAAGCAACTTATATATAATTTATTTTTGTAAACATTTTCTTCTTATGATTCTTAAAAAAATATACATATAAACTAATTTTAATATAAAAATTATTTTATCTTTTTTTTTCTGCTTAAATATAAAATTTTCCATCTATATCATTTGCGAATTTTTAAAGTTGTGAGAAGATAATAATGGATGTTGACATGAAGTCAAGGTTTAAGTTAGGTTACACTTCATGTACAGCTAGCTATTGTTCATCCACAACTTTACGCGCATATCATATTTAATGTTTATAATAAACAAATATTTCAAATGTAATAAAGTTTAAAAAAGTTACTAAAACATAATGTTCTTCTGATCTATATTTTTTAAATATTTTTGAAGACCTAGGCATTCACCTTCTAATGTAACTCTTTAGATTTTTGTGGTGATTAGATACAATTTTTTTTCTAAGATATGTGAGAAAAAGAAGATGTTCTACTACGAATTAAGATCCTTCACATTTATCAAATAATACTAAATAGTTAGTTTAGTATTCTTTCATTTTGTATTTTATTAAGATTTTTTTTGCTTTTATTTAACTATTATTTCCAAACTTTAGAAAAACTTTAATACTTTTTATATCTTTCATCTAATATCTAATTATATATATATATATATATATATATATATATATATATTACAATAAGGAACCTAAATAAAATTAAGAATATTCTAAATATTTGATTGAAGTAACCAAAATTATTATATATTTTTTTTTTCATACAGAATTTTAATTCTATATTCAGTTATAAGAAAAAGTGTGACAAAAAAGAAAAAACAAGTGTGAAAATTCTAACTTTTCATTTTAAGCAAAAATAATATAAAAGGATATTTTTTATTTTTAAATTCATTAGATAAATTATTTTTATATATTTATCTAAATATTTATTCAAAAAACGAGATAAATAATTTAAAATAATTTATTTTTCTTTTATATATGTTAGTAAAATATAACACGTGAAAATCAATATAAATCATATTTTTTTATATTTTTTCTAATAAACTAGAAAAATATTTTATTTATTTATTTCTTTATATTAATCACATTTCACCATTTATTTTCAAACAGTCCAAGTAACTTTAAAAAAGAGTGAAGAAAATAATATTAATATTTTTATAAAAAATAAATGTTTGAAATAATTGATAGATTCAAACAATCAAAAAATCATGTTTATATATATATATATATATATATATATATATATATATATATATATATATATATATATATATATATATTCTAAATTTGGTTTACTTATCAACAAAATTGGCAAAATAAAAAATTTCAAAATTTGCTCCAAATACACACTGCCAGCATTCACAACAAATTGAATGCAAAGCATAAAATTCTTTTATGTGAGTGAGAAAAAAAAAAAAAAAAAAGTGATGCATGGACAATGACATGTGTAAAATCAATGATTATGATAAAAGGGGTGGGAGAAAATGCAGCACAAGTGGATAGTGTGTAGTTAGTTGCCGTTACCTCCACATCCACCAATTAATTACAAAACAAAACATATAAAAGTCAAAATTAAGGAACCAATGCAATGTGAGTAGTTAATTGTGTGGCCCTTCATCACACTATAAAATTACTCCTGTAACTATGACTAAATTAATTTTGAAGACAGAATATAAATATCACTAAAGCTAAATTAAGAAATGAAAATTAATATTTTAGAAATTTATTAATAATTTTAGATTTATTATAGAATAAAAAAAATAGTAAGTTTTTCTTTTTTACTTTCCTGCTCAATATCAAAATTGAAATCTAAATTACATATTTGTATTCGTTTTTCTAAGTGAGTATTTTTTATTACACTTTTAAATTATTTATTTAGAAATAATTGTATCCGCTTGATTGTGATAAAATATTAGTTTCAATTATTATGTTAGTGGTAATTTTCATTTGAAAACTTTAATTCGTAACAATGGGTGTCGGTGGGGTAAAAAAAAATTATATAATTTTTAATTATTTTTAAATTTTAAGAAATATGAAACTCATAAATAATACTAAAAACATAATTCTTAAGTTAGAGACTAAAGATAAAAATGAAACGAGATCCAGTAGTGATAATATTCGAATTTTATATTTTTTTTTCGAGATCTACTTAGTCGAAATTGGTTTCTATTAGTTAACTTCTATTCTTTAATTATTAGAGATTAGTTTCATTATATATTCATAAATTCTATATTTTGTAGAGGTTGATGTGAAATATAACTTATATATGTTAATTTAATTTGTGTTCTCTGACTTCTTAAAACTCTTTTTTTTTTAAGATATAAACCATTCACAATAAAAAAATGATATAATGTACAAAATATTTATGAAAAAAATGTGTCTAATGTACAAAATATTTATGAGTATATTTCACAGTTTTATATCCATTAAAAAGTTAAAAAATATTTTATTAAGTTATATGGTTTTCTAACTAAAATGGTAGGAAAATTAACATTTTAGACCTTTTTTGGTATTTTTAGAAAATTTGAAGAGAGAGTTCGAATAATATTTTTCTACGTTGAAGTTAACGTTAAAATCAATATTTTAGTATTTTTGAAATCGATTGTGTATTTTAATAAAATGGTTTTCGTAAGAGTATAATGGTGATTTCACCTCAATAAGATTTCATAAAATTCTATAGAAGCTTCTACAAGTATAAATATATTGCAGCAACTTATGATAAAGTTTTAAAGTTAATATTGTTTGATTTGAAATTACTTTGTACTTTCATCAGTTTGTTAGTTTTGTAATAGTTATAATTATTTTAGAAAATTTATTATTTTATCTATTTTAAATATTTTAGTTTTTTTTAAAGTGCTATTAATGAATTATAATATATGTTTAGAAGAATAAGCATTATTTAGAAATTTGCCGAACGTCTCCTAAAATATGTCAAGAAAAGGAGAAAGTCTTATTTTCCAAAAAAAAGGTTCCTATTTATATCACATGTTATTATTTATTTTAGATGTTTATGTCATTTTATATGTTTTCTTCTTTCATTTTGTATAGAATAAAATAAAAATAAATTATCCCTTTTTTTTTCTTTTAATTTTTATCTACCAAACAGTTTTATAAATTATCTAATTTTTTCTTTTTTTTCTTCTTTCCATTTTCTATCCATTCACATTGATTCCTAAATAAATTATACCCCACCAGTGTTATGAAAAGAAACCATAAAATTATATTACCAACCAAACATTGCATATAGTTAAAACCTAAGGTACAAGAAACATTTACGTGTTGCCAACAAGAAAAGCTATAGTGCGAGTTTGTATATAGTAGCTACATTATAATAATCTTTTTTTCTTTTTCTTTTTTTTCTAATCTTAAGTTAGTTGTAAGGACTTTTTAAATTCTCCCTTTATCAAATTGTGTAAGACATCAATTATATGCCATCAAAATTTATTGCATGGTTCAAGCATGAACATCAACGTGTACAAAATCCGAGTGCTGTTATGTCTGAGTTACGGTATCTTAATTTCTTCCTCTTGTTTCTTTTCTTTTTTTCATATAAGTTGGCTTTGTTGTGTAGTAAATTTGATATGGTCGAAAAGTGCGATTGTTGCAGAAGCTTGTACAGCTAGTATAGTAGCATGTCACGTGCAAGACTATAATTGTAACCAACGTTCTTTGTTACTGGTATATTAATTTTAGTCAGGTTTTTGGTTTTGGGAAATGTAGAAAACAGACAAAGAAAAAGGCCATTTGTTTGCTTCTAAAATTGCAGTTCATGTATGCTGAAAACTACATTCAGCCATACCATATAACTTGCTACCAATAGCTCTCTTTGATTTTGTTTAACGGATATCTTGTAGCTCAAGACTTGATCATAATTTCATTATTTTTTCTGCAACATTAAGATGGTTACAGCTAAGAATGTTTATGCTACCTACTTCTAATTAAAAATTGTACTACCTCAACTTGTCAATTTTAGCTGCAGTAGAAGCATGCACTACGTTGTTTCTATTTGACTAGTGTGTCTTAAGTAACAAGTTCAGACATTTATAAGATTCTCGGAACCAGTTCCACTGCATGCTTCAGACCATTGCTAAGATTATCAGTTCCCAATGCTATAACACCCCTTTTTCAAAGCATTCTACTTTCTCTCTCTCTTTGAAGAAGCTCATTGCTGAAGAGAAACTGAAAACCATGGGTTATGCAAGTTATTTCTTGACTTCCTTTCTTCTGGTTGTAGTGTTCAATATGGCTAAAGGGCAGCCTCTGGTTCCTGCATTGTTCATATTTGGGGATTCAGTGTTTGATGTGGGCAATAATAACCACTTATACACCATTGTTAAAGCAAACTTCCCTCCTTATGGAAGAGACTTCAAAAATGGAAGTCCAACAGGGAGGTTTTGCAATGGAAAGCTTGCATCAGACTACACAGGTATTGCTCAAAATCACCATTTAATGAGACAATATTTTCTCACCCTCATTATCTTGTTTTTCAACAAAAGGCTTGCTAGCTTGATCTTTATTTTGTTCACTGCAGCTGAAAACCTTGGATTTACCTCTTACCCGCCAGCTTACCTCAACTTAAAGGTCAAAGGAATAAACCTCTTGAACGGTTCCAACTTTGCCTCAGCTGCTTCTGGCTACTATGATGCCACAGCTAAGCTTTATGTAAATATACACCAGCAAGTTTAAACTCTCCATATTTTTTGAGTTTTCATCATTATTCGTATAGTCTAATGTAAGTGTGTGTGTGTATATGTGTGTGTGTTTTCTTTTCTTTGTTTCCTATTGGTCTAGCATGCAATTCCATTGAGCCAACAGTTGGAACACTACAAAGAGAGCCAGAATATATTGATGGGAATAGTAGGGCCGTCAAATGCTTCATCAATTATATCTGGTGCTGTATATCTTATCAGCGCTGGAAACAGTGATTTTATTCAGAACTATTATATAAATCCACTGCTTTACAAAGTTTACACAGCTGATGAATTCTCAGATATTCTCATGCAACACTACACCAGTTTCATTCAGGCATGTCTTTGTCAACCTTAAAGGAGTGTTACCAATGATAAAAAGTAAAAAGAAAAAGAATAAAAGAAAGAAAGGTTATTTATTTTCATTTGCTGATTTTGACTTACATTTCCAAATTTCAAACACATGTGACAGAATTTGTATTCACTTGGAGCAAGGAAGATTGGCGTCACAACATTGCCTCCTATGGGTTGTCTTCCAGCAGCCATCACGCTCTTTGGCTCCGATAGCAATGACTGTGTGGTTAGACTCAACAGTGATGCTGTTAACTTCAATAAGAAGCTAAACACTACATCTCAAAGCATTCAAAAATCACTTTCTGGTCTGAAATTGGTCATCCTTGATATCTACCAACCTCTCTATGACCTTGTCACTAAGCCTGCTGAAAATGGTACACTTTCTAAGTTTCTAACACAGATAAGTCTAGAAAGCCAACCTTATCATGCAAAGCTCATGAACTAGTTTTCTTTGTGTGGCATGCACTACACTTTCACAGGTTTTTTTGAAGCAAGGAAGGCTTGCTGTGGAACAGGCTTGCTAGAGACATCTATATTGTGCAATCAGAAATCCATAGGAACATGTGCCAATGCATCTGAATACGTATTCTGGGATGGTTTTCATCCTTCTGAGGCTTCAAACAAGGTTTTATCCGATGACTTGTTGGCTGCTGGAATCTCTCTCATATCCTAATCTTGGGTCATATCTACTTTGGATTTATTCTTTTAAGAATTGTGCGGTTACTGCTGTATTAGTTTGACTTATCTAAAAGCAGCTTGAATAATTTTTAATTATAATGTTTCTCTGTTTTCAAATTTCGTGTAATAAGACCATTATTCAACGAGTTTTCCTGTTAATTTTCTACCGAGTAGTCAAAGCTGCTTCTCATGGTTTGTGTTCCACTCAATTATTTTAATTTAGCTTAATGTGACAGATAAACTCAAATTACTCGCACTGTAAATAGATAAGTTAAATCAATGTAGTGATATGGGGAAATGATTCCTTTTCACCCTTTAATTCCTAACATTTTACACAAAATCTTAAGCGGAGAGGTTCTTGAGCGAGAAATTTATAGGGTCGATAAGGTTAGCAAATCATATCAAGTCTCACTTTATAATAGTTATGTAAATTTTGATAAAGTCTTTTAAATGTTTTTATTTAGTTCAATTTTACAGAATGGAGTTTTTCCTCATAATGCACATAACAGAAGTTTAAATTAAAAATCAGCATTAATTACTGATGTAGAAGTTCCTTGGGTGTTTTAGTTTTATTCTCTAATCAAAATAAGAATTTTTACTATGATAATATGCATAATAAAAGTTTGTATTGAGATTAACACAGGTTATCAAGTTGAGACTCCAACTTGAATTGCAAAATAACTCCAAAAACATCTGATGAACTATTCAACTGTAACAGAATTTTATTCTTAAAAATAGACACTTCAACAAGCCAGATGCAAAACTCCTCCCATCACCAATAGCCTCTAAAAAACATTTATACCATATATTACTAAATGTAACAGCCAGAACAAGCAAAATATACAAAACAGAATCCGCAGGTACAGAGCCTTCAAAGATTGTCTAGACAACCGTAATTTACAAGATACAGTAATTCTAATTGGAGAATTTATGACAGCAATCCAACAATCTTTTCACATCTGCCTTACTGACAGGAACTTCAGCATTCCCATTATTCTTGGCATTCTCCTTTTCTGCACTCCAAATATTCAGAATACTGATGATCATCCCAAGCTATTAATTGCAATGGTAAAGGGAAACAACAAATAAATGGCAAAGCAAGCATTTGGATAAATAAGCATGTGAACCTAACTGTCGGTAGGCGTGGTTGGCATGTTATAGTAGAGGTCTAAAGGTCTAATGATTCAGAATTGAAGACCAGCAATCTAAATATGCAAAGCTCGTGAATGTTTTTGTTCCCTGCTTAAGGATTGTCTTTGGAAGAACATTGACACTCAATATAGAAAGTAAAATAAAAATACCGGGAATGGATTTTACAAATTCGATACAAACAAACAGTCAGTGAAAGAAAAAGACATGACAAGAATTTCTGCCTCACTTGTACCTGATCTGGTTGGTAGTAAGAAATCCTTTTTAACAGACCTCAATTAGTAAATCGGAAAACAAAATTTGCCATGCATGTTAGACTGAATGAAAATAGATTCCTTATCATATAATCATGAAAGCATAGATAGGAATGAAATTAAATTCAACATCATATTTCAGAGAAATTCAAATCTCACAAAGAACCGATTGAACTAACTAAAAGAGAAGGATACAGATACATTCCTAGCATTTTCTGTTGAACCAGAAGAACACAAGCTATCCTGTTCATGACCAAATTCAGGTTGTTGGTTGAGAAGCTCATCTTCAATCAGATCAAGTTTTTTTACAATAACTGAAACATAGTGATGTACACTTGAAGGGCTCATTTCGGGTTCTGGAATTCTAACCAAAATCCTAGCAATTACATTCCAGAGTGCATTTCTTGCTTCCACATCGTCCGAAGCAAAAGGGAATATATCAAGTAGACCACCTAATAGGTGCAAATCTTGAAAGCCAAATACCATTTACCATTATATTAAATAATCCAGAGACTCAAGAGAGAAGACATAGTGAATTGAAGTTTATAGACGAGTGAAAGAGTTGCTTTACCCTCTGATATCTTCGAAGCATGATCAGGAACATCAGACAACATATTTGCAATGAGAACTGCAGCAGTAACACAACAATTCCCAACCTGCACAAGATATCACCAATTCACCAGTTTTCAGGTAGCCAAATCATTTTCATTCCATCATCTTAAAACTTAAAAGTCTGCTATTAGCCATAAATTAATCAAGAAAATGTTATCAAATAATTAGAACTGATAAAAAGGCGGAGAAGTTGTTGGACTCCCACAGCTCTTAATCACAAAATTCATCAGTAACAAAAGTTTGAATAGCTTGATTAAGTTCGTTGCATTCTGAAACTCTCGGCTCAACTGCGTTTAGATCTGTCTATAAGGAGAAAAAGTCCTACGTAACAAAGGAGGAAAGCCCTTCTGGTTCGAATACGTGCAAGAGGAAGCAGAAAGCAACAGTAACTTAAATTCTCACTTGCAATGAAATATTAATAAATTTTTCAAATTTTCATCAATAATATCCACTGATAAAGAGAGAAAGCTACGTAGTTTAAAAATATAAAGGCTAGTCATGCATCTTGGAAGAAAGAAGAAGATATTAATTGCGTTGGACAACTTAATAGATATTTACATGAGTTCTGCGGACATAATTTTTCTGAGTTTATAGGTTATCAAGTACCAAATTATTGATATCAAAAGTTGATATTGTAAAAGACGTATCAGTATTGAAAGTGTTAACTATAACAATGTACCTCAACTTTATCTGGGAACTTAACCAGATCACATACTAGTTTAAACAGCTCTGCACTTGAGCAAATTTCCTGAGAATGATCATCCAAAACTGAAAGGGCTTCAATTGCACGAAGAATTATATCAAGAATAGAGTACCTGAAACATTAAGATGAGGTTTATCATACCCATTCCACCAGATAACTGAATGAAATAGTTATCTGCAAAATAAATGTGACAGTGAAACAAATTGCAAAACAATATATTTTACAACCATTTGTCAGTAATGTCAGAATTAGAATAATAAGAACTGTAGTAACATCATTGCAGAATGGAGGATTGTGGCTCATGGTACCTTTCAGGTATTCTTTCACTCATTAATTTGCTGATCTCAAAAGTCAACAGACTGATCAATATATTTGCTAAACCAAGCTTCATCATAGGTGGAAGGAGAGCATCCATAACTTTCTGTTGACTTTCTAATATAACTAAAATAAGCCCGATGATCTGTTAAAAGGGAGAATGATGTTAGTTATTGACTAGATAAAATTTGCATTCTGATGAAAATACAAGAAATATGAAAATAAACATATTATTTTTCCTCTGAAATTATTAAATGTTCTTGTCCATATATTCCATAAAATGCTTTTCACAAAGTCTAGTGCTTCAAACATTGTAACCTCCATAGAAAATAAAAAGGTTGAAACTATCCTGGATGGATACCAAGTCTTGATTACCTTTTCTAAAAGCTGAAGGTTCAACGTATTTTCTGCAATCCATAATATTTGACAGAGTACATGTTCAGACTGCAATGCCTCAGCCCATGTAATAGATTCACCACTTTGAAGAGATGCAGTCAACAATCTGGTCCAAAAACTAACAGTAAAAAGGTTTGTATTTTGTAAAATAAAGGCACTAATGTCAGAAAGTAGTGTGATACTTAATCAATGTGTATCTTTTTTCTTACACATACACACTTAAAAGAAGGAAATTTATTTAGTAAGATAATAGTACAAATAATGAGGATGAAAAACCTCTAGAAAAACAAAAAGAGAAAAATTAGAACCGATGAGATTGAGTCATGTAGGAATACACACCAATCTTTCTGAAAACACCATGAACAAAATACCAGAGGTTGTCCAAAAAAAGCACTATCCCAAATGAAGTCTAAAGTCAAAGAAATTTCCATTTAAAATTCTGGCTGCAAATGGCAAAGATTCACCAAGACAGAATATTACTGCAAAATATTAGCTTCTTTGTGCAAGCCAAAGCCAAGTGAAAGTACAGATGAAAATCCTTAGGACAGAAGAAATAATGAAAGTTAAAGAAACAAAGGGAAATTTTAAAGAAATGGACATAATATACAAGCATAAATATATATGCTTGGAACAAATACATAATATTTCTTTTAAAAAAACGATAAAGAAACATTTATACTAGCAGACTTTTTCTTGCCCAATTAAGTTATATTCATTGTAGAAACAGAAAATGAAAATAGTAGGAATAACAAGAAGAAGGCATACAATAGGCAAATAGTAACCAATCATGTAAATTTGGTTCTTAACAAAAAGGAAGGGAACCAGATATATCCCAATTACGAAATTGACAAGAAATGTGGGTGTAAAAAATGCGTCATACCTGCATGTTTCACATAGGCATTGAGGATCATCCACAAACAATTTGTCGACGATTATCTCAATCAGTCCTTTTGTTGAGATTATATGCTTCATTGGAATTTCATGACAGGCAAGGTTCCCAATAATTCCTATGCTAATTTCCTACGCCATGAAATTAATCCACAAAAATGGGATAAATTCTACTTAATCATTTGATAGTTTTATGCAATCTGAACAATATTAACTTACTGTTACACGCTCTGATTTGCAAACTAAAAGATTAGCTAAAAGAACTTCAAGTATGAGATTATCCACCTGCAGTATTACACCAAGTAAACAATTCATTTCCATCTGTAAAAGAATAAAATGATTGAAACTTGAAAGACAACAAACTAAATGTATTTAGATCTCCAGTGCGTTAGAGAAAGTCTCAACAATCATGGTAACATTACTGATTAGGAGCTTGGTGGTTCATGGCAAAATAGGGTAGTTGGAGAGTGGAAGCTAGTGGCAACAACCTCGCCAAGGCTAGAAGATGTTTTGAAATGAACTAGTAAATTATAATGAGAATGAAACTCAAATAAAGAATAATCCAAACACCAGCACTACTATACCATGAGTTCCGAATGTGTTTTACTGGCAGCTAAATCCCATAAAACGCAACCGTACTCTTCCCAGGCGCTCTCTCCAACCGAGACACCAGTAACTTCACATTCGCCACGCAAAAATTCAGCAGAAACATCAACATCCATATTCTGAGATTTATTCCTGAACGATTTAACATTTTCATCGTCGGAAGCAGACGCAGAGGGCGCATCTCCTTCTTTTTCTCCTCGATTAGGGTTTTCAGAAGCAACTTCACTAAAGCTACTTCGAGAAGCATAATCCAACGGCAGAAGCTTTCTTATCAAGGAGATTATGTAACTTGGATCAACTGTCGTTGATAAATCAAAAAACTGCATCAGGAGTAATCATTCAAAACAATCACTGAATAACATTAATAAAAAAAAAATAGCAAACATTTTCTCAGCGTGTAACTTAAACGGAACGATCAATTAGAACCTCGTGTGACGGAGCAGAAGGGTGGTGCGTTGGACCACCCTCTTCCACTTCTTCCACTTCTTCTTCAATAATTGGATCTGCCGGAACCGCCATGCGCTTCTTGGACTTTGCTTGTTCCCTCCAATTTTAAATTTTCGTAACAAATATCGATTGCGAGTGTCTTCAATCTACCATAAGAGTTAGCAAGAGCATTGGTACTCTTTTTTTTTTTCGCTAAACTCCTTGTGCATGGGCCAATGGGCCTGAGTTTAGGCCCGGCTCGGCCCGAAAATCACTGTGGGTGGGTTCAAGTTCAACGACCCAAGTCTGTCACTGTCAGTGCTTTGCAATTCGAATGTCGAAGACGATTATCAGCCACACGTAACGTGTAACAAGATTATCCGCCACAAAATAGTGCATTTGATTTACTCTTTATTTAAATTTAAATTAAAAAAATCACACTGTTAAGTTTCGAGTTTGTGCTTTTCACGGGAGTTTCAGACAAATTCGCTTATGGCACTTTTCGGTGGCTATCCAATACCATCTCCATCTCTTCTCTCGTTCCGTCAACTTCATCGGAATATTATTATTATTACTATAAATTTAAGTTAGATATATTATTATTATTATTATTATTATTATTATTATGATTATTATTAAGAACCATGTCATAGTAATAACAATATTGAATTACGGACACATACAAACTTCAACTACCTACCTCATCCTCCCTGCACGGCATGCACGACCACCGTAACTATAACAGCAATTGAACTGAACCACGCTAATATGGCGTTATCTTGGCCGCACGTTCTGCAGTTTCGTTCTCAACCTTCGATCGGGCATGCTAACTGCGTCTTCTTCTCCGATCTCACTGAATTCCGTTCTTTGGAACTGTCGTCCACTGGTTCCCTCACTCTGCTTCGCCGGTGCAAGTTCTCCTGTCCGTCTCCGGCGGCGCTGAAACCGGTGAAATGCCTCAGAAAATCTACGGAGGAGAAGCAGTGGAACGACGCCGAAGCCTCCGTATCCGACTCCGACGAAGTTACCGATGAACCAGATGACCGGAACCAAAATTCCGTTCCTGCAAACGGTCGTGTTAGTTCTCAGAGGATTATTTCCGGCGATTCTCTTTCTCTCGGAGTTCGAGAACCGGTTTATGAAGTTCGTTCTTAAAAGCTCTCTTCTTTTTAACTTAGTAATTTAATTGAGGAATTTAGGCAATTTTCCTGCTCCGGTTATCCGAAATATACCTCAGGACGGCTTCATTCTAAACCGTTGTTCAGCACTCAACGAAAATACAATTTTTTAGGATTTAAGTATAAGAGGAAAGTCCAACCCAAAAAGTCTTTGGATAGGAGAACCTAGACTATCCTAGTAAATGTAGGACTCCTAACAACTAAATTGGCAGCTTAATTATTCTATGGCATCTTCTCCAGTTTCATTAACTAGTAGTTTTATTTTTATTTTTGTATCTCACTTGCTTGTTGTGTTTCTTTTACTCTTGCTATTTATATCAATTGTGAAGGTCGTAGAAGTGAAGTCTAATGGGAAAGTGTCAACAAGAAAAATCAACAGGAGACAATTGTTGAAGTCAAGTGGTAAGTAAATGCATCTACGCCAAGCTTTAAAGTTGAGAATATTTACTACTCCTTACTACTATGTATCTTATCCCATTCTGTTGTTCATGCTATTTATTTCACTTTGGATGAGCTAAAACTTAAAGGAGTTGCTTATAAACATGATTATAGTAGACTTTGCACAAATTTTTTTTATGGGGCAATGTATCTGCATCACATTCTGTTCGATTTGTGCAATGATACCGGCGTTTACCTATTTATATAATTTATTATTCTTTCCATGTTCTGTTTAATTGTTCAGGTCTTCGTCCTCGGGACATTCGAAGTGTGGATCCTTCATTGTTTATGACTAATTCAATGCCTGCTTTGCTGGTAAATTTTCTTTTTTCACCCTTAACATTTTTCTCAATTGCTCGTTGTATTGTATGTATGAAGCACAAATTCAAGCTGGTGAATATATCCATGTTATTGTCAACAATGAATTCCACATATTTGTCCTAAAAAATTGTATGTTTCATTAAATAGTTTAAGTGGTGTTCATCCTCCCCAAATTTCTGTAAAGCATTGGTTAGTTACAATACAATCAAGTATGGAGATAGGTGACATGGAAAACTAGACTTGTGCCCTAAGATTTGTGGGAGTAAAAACTACGAGTCATCACTAAGAAAAAAGAATCTAAAACCTATTACGAAAGTAGATAGGTAAGTTGTTCTAAAGCTATGTATTACAATGTTAATAGAAATTCAACTTCAAAATGAATAAACAAATTGGATATAGATTGCTGACTTTATCAATTAATTATCTATTCCATTTCTTTGTCCTGTATTAGGTCCGGGAGTATGCTATACTTCTAAATCTGGGTTCACTACGAGCAATAGCAATGCAAGATTGTGTACTGATATTTGACAATAATCGGTATTGTTTTAATTCTGAAATAATTCATAAATTATAGGATGCATTAACATCACTATTCCTATGATAAAGTGATAGAGGACACTAAAACTCCTGTTATATTTATCAGTATAGGTGGAAAAGCTTTTCTAGAGACATTGCTGCCTCGACTGAACCCCAAGAACAACAATGGAGGGCCATCAATGCCATTTGAAGTTGAGGTTAGTCTTCATTTAACATCCTGGTTACTAAATAGGAGAAAAGAAAATAGAGTCGCAGTCACTTCCTGATACTCTTGTGCACTAATGCTAAATCATCGAAAACATTGGTGTTCTACTAGTCATTGAAACAACAAGGAGATCAGCTGTTCTATGAGACAAGAAAGTAAAGTGAAACTGGTTTGAAATTGAACAAGGTTTATTTCCAAGGGTTGAAATAAGATAGTGACCTAGTCAGACTCAAGAATGAGGGTAGATTACGAAAATAAAATTGTCCTCCTAATTTATTTTGAGAAACAAGTATAAACAAGATAGTTATTAGAATTATACTTCGGCACATATTAACAGCTCAAGGTTTGTTAAACGTAAGATGGTGTGGTGCCTTGCTGGTTTTTGTGGATGTTTAGGCATACTAATATAGAATAATGACAATATTGTAACAAATAAAATAGTACCAAGTGTAAATACGAGGCAGAAGGATCTAATTGTGGTGACAATTACAAATGCAGAAGACCAAGAGAAGTGTGCCTTAAACAGAAAGCACATAGGGAACTCTTAAAACTGTTCTTGACTTTTGGGTAGTCAATTTCCAAGGAATTGGACCCAAGCTTGTTACTTGTGGCAAATACCCTCTTCAAAAGAAAAATAAGGCATTTTAATATGACTGTTTAGATGAGCATGCATATAATGAGTTGGCTAACGTGGATGTAATTTTGTCATCATTTGGCTTGTCATGTTACTCATACTGTTTGTGAATTATCTTCCCCTTAGTCAATTGGTGGAACTTTCAGGTTGTTGAAGCAGCATTGCTTTCAAGAATACAGCGATTGGAGCAAAGATTGATGTACTTAGAACCCCGTGTGAGTATGAGAACACAGTGAGTAACTGAGTATATTTATGTTAATTCTTTGTATGTTTATACTTGCTAATGTTTTTGTCTATTTTGTTTTTTTGAAAAGTAGTTATTTCTAAACCTGCCTCTGAAAAAAATACCGGTAGGAAACTTTAGTTTTATCCACTATTTCTTGTGTAATGTGTTCCAGCCATTCTCTATGCAGACATTCTAGAAGATCTTAAATATATCATAAAGTGCAAGTCATGGTGCTTTACTTTTCACATAGCATGTATCCAGAAGCAGAAACTCTTATTTTATTATTTTATGGACAATGTTGGGTCATAACAGATTATACAACAGCTTCTCTCTATCTCTGACTTCACTCCTTGATTGCAATTTTTCTCTCTCTCTCTCTCTCTCTCTCTCTCTCTCTCTCTCTCTCTCTCTCCCTTTTGGTCCTAGGTACAAGCCCTTCTTGAGGCCTTGCCAAATAGGTTAACTGGTGACATATTGGAGCAGCTTCGTATTAGCAAGCAAACTTTGGTACTTTTGTCTCTGATTTTTTTTAACCAATCTTAAGTGGTTCTGTACAAAACTAGAAATTTATTTCTGTCCCGTCGCAAGGTTGAATTAGGTTCTAAGGCAGGAGCTCTCAGACAGATGCTGCTTGACCTACTGGAGGATCCCCATGAAATACGCCGTATATGTATCATGGGAAGAAACTGCACACTTAATAAAGGAAATAATAATATGGAGTGCTCAGTGTCTCATGAGAAGCAGAATGCTGAGGGTAAGCCATTTGAATCATAGAGGTGTTTTTGTTGCTGACATCATTATATGGATCTTTCCATTCCACTGTAGTACAGTTATAACATAGCTTCTCATTTCTTTTTTCTCATGATATGTAGAGGAGGAGGAGGAAATTGAAATGCTTCTGGAAAATTATCTTCAAAGGTTGTTCTTATTCCAAATATGTGTAATTCATTTCATATTACTCTCTGATCCATATTAGAATATCTGAAGGGAAACTTCATTTAGAAACAAGTCATGTATTGCACGTGATTGCATGTAACCTTATATTTTTGTTTCAGTTTCCTAACTAATTTCATAGTAGTAGGTTATTGGCACTTTTACCTGAGGAGTAAGTTACTTACTATTTTCACTTGAGGAATAAGTCTCTCAGTTACTGATTATTATCTCTAAATTTTCAGTATTTTTTTATCTTTCAATTATTATAAATGTAAACGCTGTAAATCATAAAATATCAGATTCCTTGATTTCAGCTTAAAATATTTCAACATATTCTATTTTTCCTTCTTTCCTATCTTATTTTTTCTGCCATAATTCCTACATAAAGCTTTCAAACTCAACTACTAATATAGTATTCTAGCTCTGCCATTACTTTTTTTTTTTTTTTGTAAGTCTACTATTTCTAATGATTTCATCCACAAAAATTATTTCTCCAAATGCACTTACAGATGTGAATCCTGTCATGGTCAAGCTGAAAGGCTGCTTGATTCTGCAAGGGAAATGGAAGATTCTATAGCTGTCAGTTTGAGGTTTGAATGTCTCTTTTCTCTCTTTATAATTGATTGGGGATAACATCATTGAAAGATTAAATAATCTGATGCTAGATAGTTTAGTGTTATTCTCAAGCCACGAATATGCCAAGAGTGGGATTGTGTTTTGGGGTGCTCTCTTAGGAAACAATGTGACAGCTTAGGTTCAGAAGTCACATTAGGTATTGAACCATTTGATATCTATATTGTCAATGAGGTCAAAATCATGGTATAATATTATGACATTTAAGGACTTCAAATAAGACAGGTGATGATCAATCAAGAATTTCTCAAAATTTATATCTCACAATTAAGAATGCATGAAATATTCGGTGCTGTTACTGTAAACTTAAGAGAGTCATCTCGATTCCTCTTGCAGCAGTCATCCATAGAATAACCTGAGAGCATATTGCATGTAGTCAAACATTATAATATAGATTAGGTAAAATTTAAACCCAATTGAAGAAAAAACATTTTTTGACGTCATCAACTCTATTTATCATTAGAAACGTTTTTAACAAAATTGATTCCATTCAACAGTTCACGAAGGCTTGAGGTCAGCAGAGTAGAACTCCTTCTGCAGGTTGGAACGTTCTGTGTGGCAGTAGGTGCCCTTGTAGCAGGTACACAGTTTGGGTAATTATTCAAATGCATTATATTCAATACTTTTTTTTTAACAGCAAAGCAATACATACAATGGGTTTTAGCCACTCACAATTTTACAACCAAAACATGATTCTACTACCATTTAACCACCTAGGTCGGGTGCATGCTATATTAATTTGGCACTATTATGGTCATGGCTCCATTTTACTGCTTTGAATATTTATCCATAGAGTACTTACAAGATTTAGATTACAATGTACTCAATTACAGGTTACATAAGAACTTTGGTTATACTGCAAAGGTTGAGCCCTGACACTTTATTGACCACCCTAGTTGAAATCAACCCCTCTTAAATAAACATATTTTAAAATGTTAATATATCCAATTTATGTAATAAAGATCGAAAAGCCTAATTCAAAAAATCAGATAAACCACAAAAATCTCGGCATATATTGGATTGGTTTTCAGAATTAATTTTGGAAACAAATTCAATTCAAACAAAACTTACACATTTTTTTTATTATTTATAAATGTATGGTATCACTGGTGCTTATATTTTCAAACTTATATATTTATAAAATTATCACAACTTAAACTAATGATAACATCAATATTAGGATATAGAAAGATATACTTTATTTTTTTGATAAATGCATATTACGGATGAATAATTATGTTAACTGTAGGGGACTGGATTAGTTTATTTATCTGAGAGAATATTATAACTGTTGCCTGATTTTACTAAGATATATTTGGTGACTTCAGGTATCTTCGGCATGAACCTGAAGTCCTACCTTGAGGAACATGTGGTATGTGAATTGGAGTCTGAAGTCTTATTCCCTGTATGGTTTCCTTGATTCTTATTGAAAGCTGTTGTCACTCAGTGTTTAATAACGACATGTTTGGATGTGATGCAGTTGGCATTTTGGCTGACGACAGCGGGGATAATTATTGGTGGAATTATTGCTTTCTTTCTTATGTACTCCTACCTCAGGGCGAGGAAAATATTTTGATTGGAAGAAACTTCATATTTAGGTAATTTTAACCTGTCTCCCTACAACGCAGCTCTATACCTTTTTTCTTCCATCATCTATAGCTTGAGACAGCTGCAGATCTATTATCATGATTTTGCCATTGTAACATCTATAATCCATGATATTTTCATGGATTCTAATAATGACCTTCCAGTAATCAACAAAGCCACAATCTGTATTAATTCCTCCCAACCTGAAGGGAATCTAATTTCTTTTCCAGGTAATGTCAGGTTGTGAGCAATTGTAAGCACCCAACAAATCCAGTGATTTACTTGAGGATCAATCATCCAAAATGCAAAATGACTTGGAACGTATGCATGACGGTGACCATTAGTTTTCATTCTTGTTTTGGAAAGGGGGATACGTTTTTTTTTTTTTTTTTCTGATTCATGAATTCATAATGTATATGGCAATGACCGTCATGATATATTGTCAGCCATCAAGAGATCGTTTGGTTGTTGTCAACGTAGGCGTGAGTCTTGTGTACACTTAAAAATTATTCAAATTACAATATTATACTCTATCATTAGGTTCAAAAGGCACTGCACCATAGGGGTAGTTCAATGCATGTGGTTTTCAAAATGTAATTGCATGAATTGCATCTTCACATTCAGTCAATATTCAAAAAATTCCCATAGATACAGCTCGCTCGCCTGGTGCCCTGTTTTTCAATGCCGACTAATTTTACTGACCCTTCGTAAGGAGACTATATGTAATCAATTAACGAAGAGAAGTAACAGGAAGAAGCAGTACAAATATAAATCCGTAATTCTTAGACCTTCTAGGAAATGCTGTTTTCGTTCTCTTAACAAGCATTATTTAAATCCTCTACATTTTCTTTTTATCACCACCATTTTTTTCCTTCTTAAGTTTTTTAGAAAACAAATATTACTCTTTACAAAGTAGGTACCGTTTATATTTCATTTATTTTTCCAAAATCTTTTTAATGGAAATGAAAAATAGAGAGAAAAGGAAATTGAGAGAGACGTTCTTTTTTCAATTAATACTTGTACCAAATATTAAACTCAGGAGACCATCTTTAAAAAAAAGTTATTAACAATAATTGTTTAAGAATAAAATCTATTATATAATATTAAAATTAAAGAAAATTAAAGAAAATTATTTAAAATTAGAATAAAATTATTTATATAAATAACTTTAATTAAGTAACTCATGAACGTGGACTTCATAATAAAATAATTTTTTATTAATAATTTTACCCTTTTATTAATTGATAAAAAATTATTAAATGGCCTAACTATCTATCCCATTACGGAGGTTTTGATAAGAGCTAGTTGATTAAATGCAGATTTAAAAAAAATTTGAATATCCAAAAGTTATCATTTATTTTTAAAATAAGCTATGCTGAGCTGAATTTATTCTTAGTATTAAATATATTTAATCAATAAATATCAAATTACCGACGGTCAAAATCAATCGCTAATAATTTTATTATTTATTAAATATTTTACTTATAGTAGTACCTTAGAATAAGAGATTGATTATTCAACCATTAAACTACTAGAATTTCTTGATAATAATTTACAAATAAATTATATTTATATATATATATATATATATATATTTATATATTTATATATATTTATATATTTATATATTTATATATATTTATATATTTATATATTTATATATTTATATTTTTATATTTTTATATTTTTATATATTTATATTTTTATATTTTTATATATATAATTAAATATTTATTTTTTTAAATTATTTAATTTAATAAATTATTATAAATTAATCTAATTATGATTAAATTAAATTATTAAATAAAAAATATTTTATTTTTTAATTAGGTGAATAATTAAATTATATTAAATAATTTTACCAACGGATATATCCATCGGTAAATAATTGTTAATTTACAGATGAATTTACCGATCGATATATTCGATCGGTAATTAATTATTAATTTATTCATTTATAAATTATTGTCGACGGATATATCCGTTATTAACTAATTATTATTTTATTGACGAATATATCCGTCGCTAATATCAAATTTTATGAATATTTTATATCTGTCGTTAATGATTATTTTTTAACGACTACAAATCTGTGAATAAATATCTAAATTTTCTTGTGTTAATTAATTTGTGGTTAACAATGTAGCAATGAACTTATTATATAGCTACATGTATATGTGTTGAGATTTTGACAGACGGTGTGAGAATTGATGATAATATTATAATTATATATTGAAAAAAAGTAGACAATAATAAATTTGAAAAATTATATTAAAAAACTTAAAAAAAAATGAATATTATATTTGTCTAACTCTCAGTGTGCTTAAAAGGATTACACATATAAATGGATCGCTATAATCATTTTATAATATAATATGTTTAGAAGTATATTAATTTATAGGTGTTTAGTTGGTCACAAAACCATTAAGTAGAGAGAGTATGCTTAAAAATCTTTTTTTTTCAAACTGCAAAACATATTCACTATATGACAACAACCGTTACGATCCATTAAAATATTATATATATATATATATATATATATATATATATATATATATATATATATATATGCTCATAAGTCAAAACTTACGAATATATCCATGAAAATTTTATTTAAATTATTGGCTCTTACCTAAAAATTAGCATAAGGAATGACAATTGAGTATAAGACATAGTGAAGAGACCCTAATCCATCATTAATAGTCAAAGGAAAAAACTTAAGATAAATATTGCTCATCAGAAAAAAAAATTTGAAAAAAAAAAAAATATATATATATATATATATATATATATGAAAAATAAAATTAAAAAGACTAGTATTTTTTTAATCGAATATTTTAATTTCTTGTTTATTTACTGTACTAACTTATTAGTCATTATAGGTAGAATATAAATTAGGAATACTCAACTTTTAGTAATTCACCTATGATAAGTATCAGTTTTTTTTTTTAATGTTTTCTAAGAAAGAAGGCATAAGTACACTTTGGTATTTGAATGAGATTTGTCACAAATTCTAGTTTTATTATTGGCTAATTATCAGTTTCTTGAATATATTAAGTAGATAATTTGATATGGTTATTTTTTACATATAATATAATCTACATATAACAATATATAACAAATAGACTACACAATCTATTTTCTTTTATTTAAAATTCAATAAATTATATAATTAATATCTCTCTTTCTTGTCAGAGTGAGGTGATTTTCAAAAGGAAGAAAGTATGCATGCATGTGAAGAGAAGAGGACTGGTATATGGTATGGGGCTGTGTCTCTTCCTTTTCATTTAAAGACGTTTTAAAGCAAAAACCAGGAAACAGTGGCTGCAGTAAATTTCTTGATTAGTGTGCCAAAATTTAATGGTTTGTTGTGTGCTACGTCTACATCACATTCAGCCATGCATGTTTACTTGTTTGTCTTTCCTGCAACATCATCACCGTACGCTGTGTGAGAATCTTATTTAAGAAAGGGTTACATTTCAAAGTTGTTTTGGACCCGTATAAAGCCTTTTACTCCCTCTTACTAATTTATGTAGAAGTTAAATTCTATAAATATCTGAAGCTACATTGAAACCTCATCTTCTTTTCTCATTCTTGGCTCTGGCAATAGGTACACACCGATCAAACTTTATCTTTTCCTTCCACGATTGTCAAATGTTCCAGTATTTGACTTTGAGTTCAGCGGAATTTTAGATGAAATCGAGAATAACCTGTTGGATTCCTGACCACTATGGAACCATTACCTCTACCAGAGGAAGATGGAAGAAGGTTAAGTTCTCGAGCCGGGGCTGTCGAGGATGACGAGTCATGTTTCATTCTCCTTGGAAGCATTTTGACTGTCTTACAAGCTTCATTATATTGGTGATATCCGGAGACATGCTTGTAGTAAGAACAGCAACCTTCCATACTTTCTTCAGGTCATGAGGTTTTCCGTAGGAGGAGCTTGATCTTTGGGAAGAAGATCAATTTGAGATCACCATTCTTCATTCCCAATGCGCCACCATGGTGGAGGAACACCCTTCCAGAATGGATTGCAGTGCAGCATAAGTGCTGACGGCAGGAGAGTCAAGATTGTGTCATGAAACTGATGCATCGATTATGGAGTATTTCTAAGGGAAATGCCACCATCATTCATGATTTCAGTCTCACTATCAAAGTTGACCTTTTCATTCCACTCTTCTAGCTGATTTTAGGATGCTGCAGTAAATAGCTTTTCTTTCATGCAAACTATCCCAAAAACAAACCCTTTTGCCTCCTCACCTGACTCCATCATTCTCAGCATTTTCTTCAAGATTTCACGCTGGTTTTGGGATTGCTTACCAGATTTTCGACTCCAACCTGTGCTTCTGTTTCATTCTCATGAGCATCTCCTTTCCAACCTGTGTTTCTTTGTCTTCACTACAAAGAAAAAAAAAAAAAAAAAGATAATGTTGAAAGACATTGTGTTGGGTTATGTTGGAGAGGGAGACACGTCTGAGAATGAAACAGAAGCACGGGTTGAAGAGGGAGATCCTGCAATCCCAAACCAACATGAAATCTTGAAGAAAATACTGAGAATGATGGAGTCAGTAAGGTTATTTTTGGAATAGTACATATGAACGGAAAGCCATTTACTGTAGTATCAGAAAATCTTCTAGAACTGTAGAATGAAGAGATCAACTTTAACCATGAAGCCAAGGATGCAAACATAAAAATGAATGATGGTTCCATTAATCCAATTCTAGATGGTGCAGCAGGTTCATGACACAACCTTGGGTTCTCTTATGCCCCATGGCAATCCCCTTCATATAAAGTTTTCATTCCCAAAGGGTGTTCCTCCACAAGTTGGCCGACTGGGAACCAAGAATTGTGGTCTCAAATTGGTCTTCTTCCCAAAGACCAAGGTCCTCCACCTTACAGAAAACCTCTAGACCTGAAGAAGGTATGGAAGGTTGGTTGTTCTCACTGCAGTCAGTAAGCATATGTCATGAAACTTGTAAGACAGTTCAAATGCTTCCAAGGCAGAACTTGTAAACAGTTCAAATGCTTGTCAAGGCAAGACTCCACCAGCAAGAAGGATTTCTGATGATGAAGTTAAAATTAACAGTTAACATTTCCTTTGTTTCCATGACAGGCCAGCTTATCAGAAGAGAACAATGTTTTCTTTTGGGATTTAAGTCTCATGCCTGCTGCATTTTTGTTCTCTGGTGGTAAGAAGATGTATATTGTTTTGTTGTAGTTAAAATTAATAGTTGACATTAAGATTTGGTTTCCTCTGATTTTTTGGGATTTAAATCTCATGCCACACAAAGTCAGTTGCACATTTTTATTCTCTGATAGTTAAAAAATGTATAAATAACTTATTTTCTTTGACTTTAAACATAGAAATATACCAGTGTAATTATAAGTTAAAGCATTCTCTGTTTATCTCAAAGCTACTAATCTCATGAAAATTAATAGTTTATTTAAAGCTTCAAAGAACTAAAAATATATAAAGTGGAAACTATAACTACTTTTTGGCTCCTAATAGTTTAGAGAAGCACATGAATTTTGTGGTAAAAGGATGAGACAATCTTGAGGAAATGGTGGAAGGAGTTACAGGACACAAACCCCTGTCAGCACTGGGATTCCACATAGAGAAGAAAGTCTTCCTCCATCAGCAGGGAATGCTAAGAGGAACCTCATTTTTGTGCTAGTTTCTGCATTTTTTCTCCATTTAATCTAAAGATTTTCACGGGTGGTATCTGAAAGTTTTATGGTATCTGAAAAATGCAGCTAAGATATTGAGTATTGTTCTCCTATGCAATTGTTTTGAACTTTACAAAGCACTAATGTTTCTTAATTGACAGGTTCCTTAAGAGTAGATAATTAATTTAATGCTACAAATTATCCATGCCACTACATAAGTCCTTAATAGTCCTTAGAAGATTAATTATCAAATTAGTCTCAATTATTTGATTTGTAGCTAAGTAATCCCGCAAAAAAATTATCACCAGTTTAATCCTCTAGCTTAGATTATTAAAGAACTGATTTGATTATAAGTTGAAGGTCTAATGTGATAACAAAATCTTTAGAAGAGCAATATGGGAAGATAATATTTTCAGACAGAGTTTCCATGGAAACAAAAATTTTTAATGACTCGTGAAACTTTAGAAGACTGAAAAGAAAAAATCTAAACTTTTTAAAATAGCTTCGTCAAACTATTTTTTTCTCCTTTTTCAAATAATAATAATAACCTGTCTTTTATTAAACAGTCATGGATATTGAGGCAAAAATTGTTAGCTATCGGCTTTTTTTTTTTTCTACAGTCTCAAAAAATAATGTTAAAATTTGTGCGCAACTGATTGCCAATTTGCACATCTATCTTTTCAGAATAACGTAAAAAATAACAATTGATTGTTCTTTCATAAAATCACATAACTCGCGTTTTTGTTACTTTTCATCTTCTACTTTCTCGTTAACAAACACTTTTTTTTATCTCTTGTCAATTCCACTTTCTTCCCAGGCACAAACATGGACGGAAAGGAAACTCTCATCAGCTTTTCATCTTCTACTTTCTCGTTAACGAACACTTTTTTTTTTATCTCTAGTCAATTCCACTTTCTTCCCAGTCACAAACATGGACGGAAAGGAAACTCTCATCAGCGTTAACACCTCCCCTTTAAAATCTCAAGAAACCAGTCGTTGATCGAGAAACTAACAATTGAGTCTGAAAAAATATGAACAAATAAAAAGATGTCTGTAACGGTTTATTAGCATACATTTGTGCATACTATGATCTCAGTTTTAGGTTAAAACCATGAATTACTAATAAAAAAACAAAGCAAAACTAGGAAACAAAAGATGCAGTTGGTGAAGTCTACAGCAACAAATTTTGATATATGGATGCAGAAGAAAAAAAATAATAATAACTCATTCAAATGTACAGTTCGAACCCCTCAAATATAACACTTCTGAAAAAATGAAAATCTAACCTAGGGAGAAGCTTCAAACAAACTCTCCAAAAAGATAAAACCGTGGTTATATCACAGTGTGCTCTCAACTGAATGTGAAGAAAGCTATCTTTTAGACATTATATGCTGCAATAAGTGACTAGCTTCCCCGTAAAGGGCTTCCCAAATGACAACCTTATGTATGACCTTTGTCGCATATAACATTAACTATAATGCCATGCTCCAAGGACAATCCAAGCTTACCATATAAACAAAAACAGATGGCATACCCACCTTAGAGTTGTTTTGGATTTCCATCTATGGCCATATTCTCCATACCAACTTCCACAGCCTCCTGCTCAGCTTTTTCCCTCTGCATCTTCTCAGATATTTCCCCCTCAATTGCAGCATGCTGCACAGTAGCCACTGAGGGCTCAAGAGTCCGGGGACCTGCACAGAACCATGGCTGCTGAAGGCATTGTGCAGCATTTGGCCTCTTTTCAGGGACAAAATCAAGTAATGGAAGAAGGAAGTCAGCCATGCTACTTGCATCTTGTTCACTGAAATCATACTTCTCCATCATCACCTTATTAAGAGGCCAGAAACGCAATCGATGGATGTGTCTCAAATCGCCATATCTATTGAAAAAATCTCGGGAATAGCGCCCACCAAGAGCAATCTGAAGGCAAATGATGTTCAATATTTGTGAAAGGGAACACAAAAATTTTTCATAGTTCTCGGAAAACAGATTGCAGTATACTACCATATTGTGTATTTTTTTTGAAAGCAGAACAAACATTAAAACAGAAAAAATAATAGAATGAAATTGCCTCAGAAAACAGTGTCTATAATATCAACATGCAAATCGATAATAACAGCTCAGATGTTTTACAGCCAAATGCAAATCAGGACTACCTTGCGAGGCATCATCCCAAGAAGCTCCATCATCAATGCTAGATGATCCTGTACAGTAGATTCCAAAATGTCAATTCATAGATTGAAATTGAGGTCCAATAACCACAGCAGTATTTCATAATTTTATACATTTTTTTCAATATCAATAGGATATGATGTCATTTTCAGTTAGTATTACATTATTTTAAATGAAACAAGGCTTATAGCCCAAGTCATTTTAAACAAGTTATTTCACCTCCATTGCGCTAAACCTCAAAAGTTTTTACAGACGCATAGTGAAGAATCAATTCTAAGATCAATTGAATAAACAAACAAGTTCAAAATTTGCGAAGGGTGTAGGAGTGAATAGAGAAGGTCAAATTTTTAGTAGTGGCAGAGGTCACAGGGCAGAGAAGCACTACTTTAATATCTATTCAGTTTTATCTTTCTATATTTTCCTACAATTCCCATCGTAATCAGAAAATTGTTCTCTAAATTTCTTTCTATTGTTCCTATAGTAATTTCAGTATCTATCAAGGAGTATCTTCAGAGTCTTCCAACATGTCTCTCAACTGCAAACAAGTGACACAGGTGGTGACATCTAACATTGCAGTGTCTGCCCAGAACTAATCAAAGGCTTAATGCCCAGCCAGCCATGTGGGTGACAAGGCAGTGGAGCATGGTTGGATGTTACATCAAATTGCAAGGTATTAGACTAGATTCGTATTGGAAGTATAGGATGGGATTCTAGTATGACATTTATAAGGCCTTGAGCTCTCCAAATCAACTGGTATCATAGCCTGCTGCAATAAAAGGTGAGATTCTCTCAAGGTTCTTATCAATTTTCAACAAATTTTTACTTAATAAAACCAGCAGAGATATTACTTTAATGCAGATATGATACAAACAGTAAGAAAAGGTACAAATTGAATTTTACCATTGAAAAATAATCAAACCAAACAGTCAAGGACAACTTTTACTCTCAGAACAAACATGATAAGAAGTATGTTTTCATAGTCAAAATAAATATAACATTAATAATAACAACAAGCAAGATGATTATGGGAAGAAATCAAGTCAACCAATTCTTTCATAGTCCAAATAGGTGCACTTACCTCATCCCTATCATAGTTGTCACCACTATGAGGATCAAAAAGAACATCGCCAGTGGCAAGCTCAAAGCAAATGCAAGCAAAGGACCATAGATCTGCCGGAGTTGAGTATTTAGATCCCAGAAGAACTTCAGGACACCTATACTGCCTTGTTTGAATATCATTTGTGAATTGTTTATATGTCCAACAAGCATTACCAAAATCAACCAGCTTGCACTTAAGATCGACAGATGCAAGCAACTTCTTTCTTGTAGACCGGCTACCTCTCCTATGACTTTGACTTCCTTGTGGAATATCCTTATTTTCAGAAGTCTTTGCTGATTCATCTTTACTCACAGGACTATTAGGTTTATTGACACCAGATTCTATACTTGGTTTCACATCATTAATACAATCATCTTGCTCATCAGGTGCTTTGGAATCCTCCTCAGCTTCCTCAGCATTTTCCCTTCCAACACAGCCTTGGGCTGCCTTTTTAGCCTTTTTCCGCAATTTCTTTTTCTGGTTCTTGGTCAGATCTCCATTCAAACTCCTATTGGCTATTGTTATCCCATTTTTTGTCACAGCCTTATCCTTCGTGTTTGGAAGGATAAGTGGAACACCTGATTTTCTAGGATCCTTAGATGGATCTATTGGAGACAGAAGCAGGACATTCTCAGGCTTCAAATCAGTGTGTATTACAGAAAGCTCACGATGCAAGTAATCCAAACCCACCAAAATATGGAAACAAATTTGCTTGACCATGGGAAGGGAAATCCCTCGGTAATCACTATACTTGATAAGGGTGAGAAGGTTATCACCAAGGAATTCAAAAACCATACAAACATGCTGGCCATTTGGCCCTGAGTGCTTAAAGTGATCTAAAAGCTTTACGACACATTTTTTGTCATCTGGATCCCCGTCAGCAATTTGTTTGAGAATCTTTATTTCATCCATTGCCGCTTCAGTGTAATGCTGAGCACTCTTCTGAATTTTTAAGGCAACATATCGCTGCAAACAATCAATTTAAACCGTCACTAATAAAGTTCCAAACTATAGATTGCCACATGTATGTTTGCTAGGCATTGAAATAATGAATAATAACAAAGACCTTGATTGGATAAATTTCTTCACAAACATTTATAGTAGAAGGAAAATGAATTGCACTTCTCCCATAAGCTAAAACCAACTTATATACTTAACTTTTCTTCTCGTCTAACATCTCCAGAAGTTAAGAAGCAACTATTGATTTATGCTTATGGTAGACCAACATTAAAAAGCATAAACTTCAATATAAATAATTTCTTTCAACCACCAACTGAAAGAGGCTAGGTCAAGGCCAGTTCGCCATTCCACAGACAAAAACGATGACAAACAGAAATAAAAAGAACACACCTTGTCCAAATCTCTATACCACAAACACTACATCACAACCCAGATAAAATAACAAAACTTAAATTCTGTAATCTAATTGGAAATTCTCAAAAACATTCATTTTAGCCATATCAAAGTTGTATTGCGAAGAAATAAACAAAAGGGAACGCACCGATTTGTTAGTGTCCCAAGCGAGCCAAACAGTGGAAAAATGACCCCAACCAAGCTTGCTCTGCACCACATAGCATCCATTCTTGAAAGTATCACCAATCCGAACCGCATGGTAGCCTCCACGCCTGTAATCTTCGGTTCCTTCGTCCTCCGAACTGTAATCACTCACATCACTCCGGTCCTCCGCCATTGAAGGACCTTCAAACACAAACCCGTTCTGAGACGGTGATAGAAGAAGAAAAAAAAAATTGAGGCAGACAAATTGGAAATTTTCTAAAATGAATCGACTTGACCAATGGTTAGAAGTCTTGGAGTGAGAAAGAGGAGATAAAGAAAGGGTCTTAGTGTACGGTGGAGAATGGGAAATTAGGGTTTTTGAGTTGGTCTTGTTACCGGGAAAACAACGTAAGAACTACAAGCGAACTCGCAGGTAGATTGAAAACTCGAACGTAGATTGATAGAATAAACTAAAAGACAATTGTTTTTCTTTTTTTAACGTACACTAAATAAAAACTTTTAATATAAAAATTACATTGCACTTAAATATTATAATAAATGAAATTTTTGAAGATATTATTATTTTAAATTTATGATATGCAGTTTATATTATGTTAACTTTTTAAAAAGTTTTCATAATTTTAAAAGATATTTCGATTTTTAATTTTATATTTTCTTTTTTTAAAGAGTGTGATTTTCAAAATCTTTTCTTTATTAAAAAAGAAAAAATTTCATTTTATTAACAAGACTCGGATATTTTCGAAGTTTGATGAAAATATTGTATTGATTTTTAAAAATAAAATTATCAACTTTTAGATAATCCATCCTATTATTATCACCTTCAACATATCATTATCTATATAACTTTTTTAATAAATATTTATTATATTTATTTATTTAATTAAACTTATTTATTATTTATACACAACATTCAATAAAAAAATTAAAATTATCGCATCATATAGATATTTTCCTTTTTTTCTTTTCTCGTTTATTTTCTTATTTTTCTCTTTCTTTTTTTACTTATTATTTTCTTTTTTCTTTTTCTTTTTTATTCTTCTCTCACCCCATCTTATTCTTCAATTAAAAACATCATATTAAAATTTGATAACATAACTATTTTATTATTATTGAAAAAAATATTTAAATAATTTTAAAAATATTATATAATAAATTTTAGATATTACAAATATTATTATTATATAATAATTATTAAGAAAAAATTAGATATTTATTTTTAAGTATTTTTTAATAAATTTTTATTAAAATATCTATTCTAATTAGTTATTATAACTTAAAATTATTATAACTAGCTGTAATTATTAAATAAAAAATATATTTAATTTATAAATATTTGATAATTTTTTAATTAAATGAGTAATTATTTATTATAATAAAATAAAATAAAATAATTTATTTATGTCATTATAAATAAATAAAAAATATTTATATCCTAATTATGTTTAAATTAGTTAATATTTTTAATTTTTAATATTATTTTTAAAATATTTATTTCAACAAATTTTATTAAATTTTAATATAATAGTTCAATTAAAAGAATAAATGAAAAAAGAGAAAGAAATAAGAGGAGTAAGATAAAAAAACTATAAAGAGAGAATGAAAACAGTAAACAATATTATTTTTTAAATAAATTCATATCAATTCTATTTGACTAACTTTTTTTAAATATATTATTTTTAGGATTATTAATTTATGTTAAGTGAATAAATAATAGTTATCTTAAAAAATGTAAAATATTTGTGTTAAATGTTAACATGCTATTCTAAATAAGGGTCATATTTAACATTTTGTTGAGAATGATCACAAATAACATTTATCTTACAAAAATTGAAATATTTTTAAAGTGTTAGATCTCAACGTATTATTACATATAGGAGTTATATTTGACATTTAAAAAATAGCAAATATAAAAAAATGAGTTTATATTTATTAAAGATAAATTTTAAAATGAGTATTAAAAAAATACACTTTTCTTGCTCTTTAATATTTTAAACTTGAGAGATACAAAATTAATATAGCAGAAGATGAAATAATTTATAAATTCAAATTTTCCAACAACAAAAATTAACATTTTATCAATTAACTAACAAATTGCCATTAACGACAAAAAAAAGGGAAAATTGAAAGAATTTAAATTCATTTAAATTAAAATACAAACGAGGAGATAGATTTATAATATTGTATTTAAGTTTTAAAATTAAATTTTACTCCAAGCGTTTATATCTGTAAAAAAAGAAAAAATCACTATAAAACAGTAGGAAAAAAATACAAGCATTTTAGAAAATAGTTTATATGATAGTGTATATATATATATATATATATATATATATATATATATATATATATATATATATATATATATATATATATATATATATATCGTGTACTGTACGAATATTTAAAATGACAATTTATCAGTAGTCAATTTAGATGTGATTTTTAGATTAATTATTACAAATTCGAATAATTTTACCATGTATATAACGATTGCATGGTAGTGTGACATTGTCAAATGTAAATTAAATTTAAAATAATATTATAAAAATATTTATTTTTTTTGCTATGAATATTTTTTTTAGATTCATAAAATCTGAGTAAGTTCACTGACTTTTGTCAGTTTGCTATTTGGAGTAATCTTTCATTAGCCAATTATTTAGGAACATGAACATGTTTTTTAGGTACATGAACATATTATTTAGGTAAAGTTGCTACTTCCAAATGCTTGACACCAGACAAATTTGACAGTTAGCTGTTGGATAAATCTTTACAATGCATAAATACCAAATTGGGAAAAGAAAGAAATTACACGTCATTACGTGCGAGAGAATTTATGGTGATGAACGTGAGAACAACTTATTTATTATGTATTATTATAATTTTTAAAATAATTTATATTTAATGATTTTTTTATAGAAAACTTAAGGAAAATTAAGGTAGTGAAATTTTGTTCAATTACTCTATTTTTTTGTTAAAATGCTCAGATTAATATTATGTACAAAAATAAATAATTGAAAAGATTGTGTGATAATATTAATACTCGATTAATCAAAATTGAAGTTAAAAAAGAAGGTTGGACATTTAAACTTTGTTCCTTGTATGTTTGTTTTTCTATCCTTATCACTGTGACGTTTCAAAATAATAATTTCAAACTTTTCTATACTTACCTTATATTATTTTAGAACACATAAAAGTCAAAGAAAATCTACATTGTTATATATTATTTAAGAATTAAACTCTACATTATTGATTTTACTATTCTATGATTTATTCATTAATTAGTCTGGCAGGTCTAATTTTTTGCGGAAAAGAGTATGAAATAGTTGTGTTTAAGTTAATAAAAAAAATAGTGCGACTACTATAAGATCAAATTATCTTCATGTAAAAGTCAAAATTAATTTATATACATTTTATTTTAATATATTTTTTAATAAAATTGGGACAAATTAAAATTTTAAAGAAAAAAATACCTGAAACATCGTAACCAACTTTAACAACATTATTATTACTCTGGTTTCAAAATCAGTAACTATATTCAAATTCACATAAGGTGATTATTTAAGAATTGGATTAGGAATCGAATTATGAAAGCATTTGATACTGACTTATTGGTTGAATCTGAGTTAAACAGTAGTCGAGACGACAGCAACTAAAAAGGAGGTATAAAGGGTTGCTGGGCTAGTTTTGCTCCACTGATTTTCTTTTCACACCCTGCTTAAGGCCCAGGCCCTAAAGGTTCCACAGCCCATTTGGTTCACTTTGTATATTCTTCGCATGAAGTAGGGTGTAAGGTAAAAAGGACCGACTAGTTTCTTAATTATAACCGCAAATTCCACTTTCTTAAAAAATTAAAATGAAAAATAAAAAGAGTTGTTAAAATATTAAAAATAACATTATAATTTTAAAATCTAAAATTTAAAATAATTACCAAAATGTTTTAAAAAAATTAGATTTAAAAAAGGTTAAAAATAATTAGAATATATTTTTTAAAAATAAATATTAAAAATAAAATAATTAAAAAAATATTTAAAAGATTAGAAAAACAATTATATAATCAAAGACAAAATAAGAAGGAACTACATATACTAAAAGTTTATTAGTAATCTAATTGATTTGATTAATAATATAAACATAAAAATTATGATATATATTCATAATTCTCATATTATATATAGAAATAAAAAATTTCGATCTTATTTTAAAGTTTATTATTACCTTGAATATAATTCTCGTAAAAATAGCAAATATATAAATAAAATTAATTTCAACTCGAAATTTCATTATGAAAAAATTTTTTTTATATAAAAATTTATAATTCCACCTTACTTTTCTTGTGTTGTTTTTCAAAAACATAGACAGGTTCGTTTTTTTTTTCCGGGTGAGGGCAAAGATTATACAATATTATTTGAATAGATCATTGAAGATGTTTTGGATGTATGTATAGTATATAAACTACACTACTATAAACAAAGATGTTGATTGTTGTACAGTTCATTACTTTCTTATGTTACCTTGTTCTTTATTTATATTTTTTTAAAATACAAAAACAAGACAACTTCAAACATTCGGAGGGACCAACGTAAGGAGGAGATCAGGAAAATAAAATAAAACAAAACGGAGGAGTTTACAAGGTAGCCGTCTAAAGACCCCACTTCCCTAGAAGACTTTCCTTCGCTAGAAAAATTATATATTTTTTTTTAATATTGTTGCCAAAAGGTGCAAAACAAAACTGAACATTCAATGATTCGTGAATCTGCATCCATCCAGTGATGATGTGAATGGTGTATGAAAAACACGAAAAAGAATCTGAAAGATGAAATTAACATGAAAACAGAGCCAAAGTTGGTTTCATTGAATGACACCATGGTTGTTTGAATTCAAATTGGTATCACTCAAATACAAAATTACATGATCCTAGTTGTGTCGTCTTCAAAAACAACGCACACTAACTGCATAAACACGCTATTAAAACAAAAGCAGAATCAGGTGAATTGAGATAACTGATATTTCTCAACATTCGTCCAATGAACGTGAATCATAAATTAACTTTCAATTCATCTAAAGAGAAAAATAAAATAAAATAAAATAAAAAGAGCGTATGATCTTGAGTTTATTATTGATGCAAGTGTTGGTGGATTTGGAACCACATGTCTTGGAAGAAAAGTTGAGCATAAT